TTCGGATAAAAGCGTCTGCTAAATGTATAAATGTAAATATGTGTTACCTTGTGTATATAGTTAGTTGGTTAGTTTGTTAGTTTGAACTTTATTGTCCACCAATGGGGAAATTCTCCTTTGGCTTCTCATAAAAACGCAAGTTATACACATACACAATATACAATGTAAAAGTTATTCTGAAAAAGAGTTAATTTCCCCAGTCCCTTCATTTAATATTCTAACTGCCACTAAATACACTTTATTGTCCCCAAAGGGGAAATTTGTGTTGGACTCAAGGTGTTTACATTGACATTGAAACATTGAAATGCATACATTAAAATCACCAGTATTATAATAAATAACATTATTAAATTATTTTCATCCTACTAAAAGAAACGACGTGAAGTTGATATTTTAGTCATTGGCTTGACTTATGCATAAACAGTATTGAACGATTTTGAGAGAAAGATTACCTGTCTGAACTTGAACATCAGAAATTGTTGCTTGGTAGCTCGATCGATTTATTTTCAGACGTTCATCGAGGCCAGCTCTGTCTTGGCCCAAGTTGAGGAAACAGTCGTCGGTGAAATGTTTGGACCATACAAAACTTTGGGAAGTTGTGTCGCCGCTTTTCCAGAGAAAATAAAATTAACCCATTGTTTCTTCAGAGGCTCGGATGAAGCCATGATATCTCTCGAGGAAAAACTCAAATCGCGCTCGCGCGTTCTAACTTCCTAGCTCTTTTTCTCATGGGCGAGCCAAATTCTCTGGGCGGGCAAAGCAGAGAAAGGGGAGGTTACCTTTCCTCTGTATGACGTCATACGGAGGAGATTCAAGATCAGCCCGTCTGAGCTTTCATTTTCTCAAAGGCATTGAAAGATAGCCAAAGCTCGGTTTACTAGCCACTGGGAGACCATATACAGGCTAGGGGAACTCATATTAATGTTAAAAAACCTCAAAGTGAAAATTTCATGTCATGGGACCTTTAACCACTGATTCTTCACATGCTCGTCCTTGGGTAGTGAAAAAAAAAACTGTCTTTACCCTTCACATTGTAGAGCACAGCGTCTTCTTGACATGATGCTGTCCAGTATCCACAGGAATCAGCTGACGGTTTGAGGTTCAAGTTTTCCCTGGTGTCTGCGCGTGCAATACGTGGGCGGGCAATATACTAATGTTTCGTCTTGACGCCACAACAACAGAAACGGCTTATGACTCGTTTGAAAAACGATTCATTTCATTGACTCAGAGTCGACTCTTACATTTGAAAGACAATAACTTTATATACGGTGCACTTTCAGATTTAAAACTTTGCAGGGTGTTTTCATTCACTTAGAGCTATGTTACACACTACATGAAAGGTCATTTTCAAAAATCCATAATAGGGGCACTTTAATATTTCACAGTGACTAAACATGTTTGTTTTCCCGCATATGTATGTAGAGATTATGCTATGGCTATTTAATTTTGTAAAAACAATATGTTACTCTGTTTTGGACAGATTGCAGAGTATGTAGATGCTGTATGTTTTTAGATCCACCAAACCCCTCCTTTTGCCTTGTTAGCACAGTGATGCTAAAATTCTATCAATGAGAAATGGCTCTTGTTCCCATGGAAACAGTTATGAATGAGAAGGGCCCAGTAACCGTAGAAACTGTCTGAATGAGGAATTGCCAGTTGCTATGGGGATATGGTGTATTGTGAGGAAGTCTGTGGTGGGAGTTGTCATCCTCATCGACTCTCTAAACAAACAAAAAGAACGTGAATGTGTTTTTGACTTCACTGCTGCTACATTCATACAGTATTGGTAACTAAACAGTAGTGTTTTGACTAGTAGCAGCACTGACCTACATTTACGTCCACTGCTACAAAAAACACTGCCGCTTTCTCTCACTCCTAGCCGTACACACATTCTCCCACACTCACAGTGTGTGTCTGGGATTGTGGTGAGATGGATTGGCAGATGCCTCCCTGTGGGCTGCCCCGTGTCAGTGCAGTGTAAACACCTGTGAATTCTCCTCTGTATCCCATAAGCTCAATCTGTCAGATTCTTTGGGGGCTCCTCTGGAGCCCACACACACTTTCCTGAACCTCCTGCAAAACAGCGAAGCCTCTCTCTTAGCACACCAGTTTAGTGGAAGAAACACTTTATGTATACCTTTACAACAGGGGTATCATTCTTAAATTACCTGGGGGCCTTGAGCTAGGTGGGGTTCTCCAGTAAGGGCAACTTATTTTATTTAAATATTTAATTTAATTTTGTTTTGTTTACATGCGTAGGCCACGGCACCAACATGTTCACAGCGTTAGAACAGATTGTGTTTTGTTTTGTCTTATCTTGTCTTGTTTTGTTTTGTCCCGTTTAGTTTTGTTTTGTTTACATGCAGGTAGGCCACGGCACCAACATGTTTACAGTGCGTTGCAACAGAGTTTTGTTTTGTTTCAAAACGTGCACTAAAATTTTAAACAACAAGACAAATAATCTGTGTTTTTTGAGTGGTTTGACTTTTTTGTTTCTGTTTTTTAGGGTAATTTTAAATGTTCACTCAAGCATTAGGTAATTTTATTTGTGTATGTATGTTTGTTAATGTGTATATGATGTTAATGTGTATGAGCTGTGAGTCAGGATTTACCCACATTGGGTCTCATTCATGAAACACGAGCAGAACGAATTTTTGTGTAAATCGTGTGTAAAGTGGTTCTGACGTAAATTTTCGGATTCATTAAAATGTTCGTATTTTCCAAATGTTAGTTGGTACACAAGAAATCTACACCTGCTCCCAGCCACGCGTAAATAGTGCGCTTAACGCCCGAACTTTTTGCTCATTAATAAGGCTGCATTTTAATTCACCTTAATCGGGTACATAGTTGCACAGCATTTTGAAAAAATATTATATATAGTAATTACATAAGTTTTTTCTTATTATGAGAGCCAGTAATAGCATCTGCGATGGTGGTCCTTCTCCAGTTTGAATATTATTTTTCCGAAGTGAACTAATTCGTTTTTTGCTTTCAAGCTTAATGTCGAACCATTTTCTTCTCACTTCTGGGAATGTTCGATTAACAGATGAAACTCCATTAACTGCATCTGTAATATGCTGCCAAGCTTCCTTTCTTTTAGGACTCGATACGCCACTATGTACGCTTGAAAATAAAATGTGGCGTTTTGAATGAATTTCTGATAATAAAACTTCAATTTCTGCATCTGAGAATTATATATTTTTTTCATTCGCATTCATGTCATAATATGATGCCCATATATAGTTGTCAGTCGGATTTAATGGGCGGGATTTATGGTAATTGAGAATGAACGTGCACGCGCATCCCATTTACGACTGATTGGAATTCATTAACACACACACACACACACATTTCACTATCACATCTGACGTTTACGAAGTATTTGTGAATCAGGAGAAGAGTTTTCGGGAAGGTCTCTTTACGCGCAAATTAATCGCATATTTACTCGTATATTTACGAATGTTTCATGAATGAGACCCATTGTGTGGACCAAATGTCCCTCGATAGTAAAAACCTGAAATTACCTGCCAACAGTCTCCATAAGGAAATTTTATTTTATTCTTAAGGAAAATATAAGGCTTTCCATGAGGGTTAGGTTTAGGGTTACAAATCAAACATATCATTAGCTCATTATAAAACAGTAGAAGTCAATGAAAAGTCCTCACCCTCCTAGAAAAATGAGTGCTTTGGTGTGTTAGAGAACGGGAGAGAAAGTGTTGTATAATAAGTCAGGTACAGCTGACAGTGGTGGCTCTCAGACTGCAGCTCTATAAATAGACGAGGAGAGATGGGAATAAATCAGCCAGTCAGCATCTTCCTCTCACTCTCATCCAGCTCCTCCCCTCTCTCTGTTCCCTCTTCCTCCTCCAACCCCCTTTGGCTCTCTTTCTCTCTCTCTCTCTCTTCTTCGCCTCCCCATTTTGCTCTGTTCATTCTCTCTCTCTCTCTCTCTCTCTCTCTCTCTCTCTCTCTCTCTCTCTCTCTCTCTCTCTCTCTCTCTCTCTCTCTCTCTCTCTCTCTCTCTCTCTCTCTCTCTCTCTCTCTCTCTCTCTCTCTCTCTCCCTTTCTTTCTCATTTGGCTTTCTGTCCATCCCCAGTAATTTACATTAATATTAACTGAATAACTAGTCTTCCTTCAACCTCCATGATTCCTGCCTCTCTGCATCTATGTCCTTTGCTTTTTTTTCTATGCCCTTAGTTGCTTTTAGTTTGTTCTACTAAAGACAAAGATGATAGCAGCAGCTTTCTTTAACAGTTGACACTCATATCGACGGGTTAAAATATATCTCAATGGACATTTTTCTATATGTCATGCAAAATGAAGCAAGTTTAGGTTGTCAGTTGTCTTCAAAAACAGGCTTCATGTGGCGATAAAACTGATCATTTGTTGCTACATCTGTGGGTTTGAATGTTGATTAAAATTCCTGTCATATATGTTTCACTATCCGTGCTGTATTGATTCAGTTGGATTCACGTCTTTGTTCTTCTCTGCATGTTATCATTAAAGAGAATCAGTTTCCAGTGACTTTCCTGCACAAATAAAGGTCATATGAATACAAAGCAGCGGTACCCACATTTATCTCTATTCTCTGCGCATGGACCTCTGACATTCACTCTGCGGGGGGACGGGCAGTGTGTGCCATCCTCTCTCAAACCATTAATGCCCACTGCTTATCGTATTTGAGTCCATGATTCACACACTGTAGCGTAGATGTCTGACCAGGTGAAGCCTTAATACAGTCATTTATGATTTTAATTTTGTCAGTGTTCAGAATGGGCATTAGCTTAATCACGATGTAAATAGATTTACATGAGCTCTGTTCATGTACCTTTGTCACCCTTTATACATGTTTTTCTCAATTTTAAAAAAATCTAAACTGTCACTGATTAACAAAAGCTAATCCTCTATTAGTACAAGGACTGCTGTTTACCACACTATCCCAGTTTAAACTGATTTAAACTGGTCCTCTGATTCATTCTGTAATGTTATTTCTCTCCAGAATACTGTCAACAGTGGGCTCAGACTTTGACCTGAGGACCCTGCGTGCTGTTCGAGTGTTGAGACCTCTCAAACTTGTGTCTGGGATTCCAAGTGAGTAACATATTTGTTCCAATTCATTCAATTTGATGTATTATATATGTAGGGGTGCACCGAAATTTCGGCCGCCGAAAATGATCCGAAATAAATCTGTTAAATCTGATTCTGTTGCATAGAACTTAATGAAGAATGATATATTGATATTAATATATTGATATTTTATATTATTTTAATATAGGCCTACTGTCTATCCAATTGTTGTGTGTTACTTTAAATAAAAGCTTGTATTTTTTAAATTCAGATTAGTTTTTGAAAAGTTATTGAATTTAATAATTTATTTTTCAGGTCCAGAATTTTAATTTCAGTACATCCCCAATTATATGCTTTCCGTACAATGAAAGTGGATGTGATTTGTACTGCTAAGCTCCAAAAAAAAAAAAAAAATGCATCGCACTAGGTTTGAAGTCACTGAAGCAGGCTTTCTGCGGGTCTTAAAAAAGTCTTAAAAAGTCTTAATTCACCCTGACACTAATTATGGCCTTAAAAAGGTCTTAAATCAGAGGAGAACGTTTTATATTTATAGTCATGGCATTAAATGTTGCATGCATTGAAAGAAAAATAAAAATATCTAAAAATCTTTAAATCTAGATACATTTACTTGAAATGCAAATTAAGTCTTGAAAAATGATACAAAATTAAGTGAGTTTATGCTTAGGACAAGAACATATATCAATGAGTTATCAAACTTCCCCTTGAATTAAGTTGAGCACATTGGCAGATATTTGTTCTTTTTTTTTTATCAAACTTTTTCATAATCAGTTTTACAGAAAACAAGACTTCATATTTTGTCATTTTTTTATCTCAGTAAATGCATCTTGATTTAAGATTCTTTAGAAATTTGCACTGGAAAACAAGACAAAACACAGAGTAATAATGTCATAAATTCCATGTTCTAGTGGGTGGAAGCAGAACAAGTCAAACTTTTTTGGTAAAATGAATTAAAAAGTAATCAATATCTGGTGAAAGTAGTATTTTTAAACTGTGAAGTGTTGTTAATCCAACTCATTGTGTTTCTCCCTAGACATTTACATTTAGAGAACATATTGTGTTCCCTTCAATCAATTCCTTAAATTTTCTTTACTTGGTCTTAAAAAGGCCTTTAAAAGTCTTAAATGTATCTTCATAAAACCTGCAGAAACCCTGCTGAAGACAAATGGCATTAATTCTTGCATGTCACGTGACCAATTGGTTTAAAAATGCAACCGCAACTGTGATTTGAGGGCTGATTTGTAGGGGAAGATTAAATATCATTATATTCATTGTTCAAAACATGATCTGAGAAGACTTGAATATACAGTTCATAAGAATTGCTTTCATATGCTGATTTAGTATATTTGAAGTATGATGATATACTAAATCATGATACATTTTGTGCCATATTACAAGCTGTCAAATTGGATTACAACCAATTTTATGCTGCAAAAACAAACACTAAAACCTCTGACAATATCAATATGCTTGTTCTCTTTCCTCTAGGCTTGCAGGTTGTTCTCAAATCCATTATGAAAGCCATGATCCCACTGCTGCAGATCGGTCTGCTGCTCTTCTTTGCCATTCTAATGTTCGCCATCATTGGTCTAGAGTTCTATATGGGCAAATTTCATACCACATGCTTTGACAATATCACTGGTAGGTCACTTGATGCCAGTTTTGGAGATCATGGAATGTCACAATCACAAGTAGCACAATTGAATTATTTATGAAAGAATTCACCTTTTTCTCTTTCTTACACCCTATTCTTTCTGTTAGATGAAATCCGAGAGGAGTTTCCTTGCGGGAATGAAACTGGCGCTCGGAAGTGTCCAAATGGAACAGTATGTAAAAAGTACTGGCTTGGACCTAACTATGGTATTACCCAGTTTGACAACATCCTGTTTGCCGTGCTCACAGTCTTCCAGTGCATCACCATGGAGGGCTGGACTGACCTGCTATACTATGTAAGTCGCATTGCAGCACTTGACTAATGCCACAGAGCTTCCTCATTTCATTTTTGGATTTTTGACCTATGCTTAAATAGACCCTTAAAAGAACTGACCAGGAGTAGAAATAAGCAATTATTTATTTTTATTTGCACTGTTAATATCTGTTCAAATTGGAGGTGATCAAAATCTTATTTTAGGAATATGTCATTTTTAATAAGGATAAAGGTATGGTTTTCAATGACTGAGATGACATGAATACTGAAAAATATGATTGAAAAAATATGATTTTTTTTATACACTTCATGGACACTGTTTTCTATTTTAATATATATTTTTAAAATGTGATTGATTCCTGTGATGTCAAAGCTGAATGTTCAGCATCATTACTCAGTGGCTATGTGTACATGCACAACTTTTGTTTCAATCGAACTGAATTCATTCCAATTGATGAATCTGAATGTAGTGTTTACATGAACGCTACGACATTAATTAGTGATCGGGTTGATGTGCGTGTTTACTGTATATGTCACAAGCTTCAAATCGGAATATATTTTTTGACATGTGCACACTGAACGAATATACAGTTTACCACTGTTTGTGCAAAATAACCATTCTCCTACATTGGTTCTTTATTTATTTTTTAACAGCAGACTTAAATATTTATCCATTTCTGGTCATACTTTGGAGACAATGACATATGAACCATTGTGCCATGCTGCTTATATTTATCACGCTGTAAATGCCCCTCCCCGTGCCCAAAACCAGTCTTCTGTGGATGAGGATCCTGAAAGAACAAGGACTGGTGGGACGTTGTCCTGCTCCACTTCACAGACGCAGAGTGAAAGGAGAATTTTAGAATGACTGACGGGACACTCATTTATATGACAGGAAGAACAGCTCGTTCCGCACGTCATACATCATTATGCTATTTCTATGCCATTGCACATGCGCAGTCCATTCAGTTTTGGTTTTCAATCCGATCAAGTGTTTACATGTCCTCTCGATCAGATTAGAAAAGGAAAAAATCACCCCTTTCAATCCGATCGAAATTTCATTCGGATCGATTAAGGTGTTTACCGTATTTTCCGCACTATAAGGCGCACTTAAAAGCCTTTAATTTTCTCAAAAAACGTCAGTGCGCCTTATAATGCGGAGCGGCTTATATATGGATGGTGAACACACGTTCACCAAGACGCGGAGACAGCGCCGGCCGACTTACGCCACTATCTGGCAATGGATCGTGGATGCCTGGGCTGATATATCAGTCTCCTGTGATCCGAGCTTTCACGAAGGCTGCAGGCAGGAATAATCTCTTTATTCAGCCAGCTCATATACCCGTATTTACTTCCTGTTTTCGGCCGAAGTCCACAGTAGTTGATTGTCGAGTTCGCGCGCAGCGCGCGCGCGATCAAACCTCCTCCACGTGTTCAACATCTGATTCGGATGAACTATCCGAATCCGAACTATCCATTTGAGCTGATATTCTCACATAGAGAACACCACACAGCACCGTCATCGGCTGACAGTCTGAGTCTCCACTGTTGCTTAGTTACCAATGATCGCGCGCGCGCACTCGACAATCGCCTACTGTGGACTTCGACCGAAAACAGGAAGAAAATACGGGTATGTGAGCTGGCTGAATAAACATCATTTTTATTCATATCTTTCACATTTACTGGAGTCAGATTCACTGTGTTCACTCACATGGCTGTGCACTTGTAATGACACATTAAGGTTGTTAAGAGGCTAAAAGCAGGTTTAAAACTTTTCCCGTTTAAGTCAACAGGGTGCAAATTTTAAAAAGAGGATAACACAGTGTAGGCAACACCGGTTTTTGTCGTTGTTATCTGTACTGACAGCACTCCAAATTTACCAAAAATGAGCTCAATGTTAAAATTGACCGGAGTTTTCCTTCAACGTTTGAACAACGTTAACGTTACCATGGGAGTGAACGGAGTTGTCAGAACGCTTAATAAAGTTTGACTTTATCTGACTGTTTTGTTGACATTTGTTGACATCTAGTGGATGCATAACGCAAACGCAGTCAAACGTTTGACTGCAGTATCTTATGCGCTTTATAATCCGGTGCGCCCTATATATGAAAAATGTTCTAAAATAGGTCATTCATTGAAGGTGCGCCTTATAATCCGGTGCGCCGTATAGTGCGGAAAATACGGTACATGAGGGCTTTTCAGTCCGATTGAGCCGTCAATCCGATTACTAACAGATTATTTGGTTGCATGTTTTAAGGCCTGCCCAATCGGTCCAACAGCAGTTTCCAAAAGCGGGTGAAGGTTTACTGTGTGTTACTGTCTTTTCAGTGTGGCAAAGTAATTTAATTCCAATTAAACTTTTATCTGACTCCATTTTATCATGACCTCGAATTTAGGTAGGAATGCCAATTGGTTATTGGTCATATAGTTTAGCAGCACATTTGATTATTTTATTTAACTCTTTACTTTACATTTTACCTGTTCATTAGGAATCTATGTCGCTTTGAGGTCCTCGCGCCGGCCGTTTAACCCGGGTCTCACGATCACAAACTCGTCTGTTTTGGTCACTAAACAGAGGTAATTGGCTAATATCTTAGACGGTCGCATTCACGCTTACTCAATCTTAGATATTTTTGTATAGCCTCCCGTGGTCAGTGTACACTTGAATTAAAGTAACGTTTACTTTAGACAGAGGTCATGGCCACTACTACAGATATAAGCCGACCAATATTACTTCTCTGATAGTAGCTTTGGTTTGGTCATGCCATGGTTTCCCACGTACACTTAACTAGAGTAACATTACATTGAACAGAGGTAAGACTCACCCTATTTAGGTTGGAAGAGCAACATTTTACTGTCCTAAACGGAAATTCCCTTTTTGCCTTTACAAAACCAGGTACACTTGAATTAGTGCCAAATATTTGCCGGAACTCTAAAATCACAGTTGGTGCGCCCTATGCTCCACTCAAAACTGGACTCTTGGCCGTCACTAATCTGACACAGATTTGCGGGAACGTACGCATTCGCTTAATGTACTTGGGAAAATAATTTCAGAGTAAGTCATAATAAATCCAAATGTAACAATGTATTATTAGTCAGGTAAATGTATCATGCAAATTACATAATCAATTCAAAGATAATCAATACAATAACATCAAATGCTCAGAGATAAAGAGAAAAGATGTATAAGCTACCTAACATAGGAAAAATACATGAGGCTGAGTGTCTTGAGGACATTCAACATCACGGGCTGATTTGAACTTCAAATCGCGCCCTGAACCCTTTTCAGCATCTCCCTAAATACTCAGACCAAGGCAAAACCTCTTTTCAAATGTAAACATGAGTTCACAATGGGAATTTGCATTAATCACCGTCCCAGACTTACTGGGGGCAGAGGTTGATTTACATGTGGGCATACCCACAGCAGTTAACAAGATATCTCTAAACTCTCCACACCTTGTTACATTTTTAGTTTACTTCTGTGGGAATGAGACCTTTGTACCAGTCACACTGAGACATTTCAAATGATACCAAACATGTATGTGGGTAGCAGGACGAGGCCAAGGGCCATGAGAGAACGGCGCGAGGCCGGTGGCGTGATTGCTGATGAGCGCCACCTGTGCGACGCACCGGTCTCGTATCTCTCAGAGAGGAGCAGACGCATAAAAGGAGGAGCGACTATGATGAAGGACGAGAGAGGACCAGGCCTGGACTGTTTTATTTGATGTTTTGATTTATTATGTGTGGCGGCAGTCGTCCTTGAGGGGCTGCCGTCTTTACTTTCATTTTGTGTTTATTTATTTATTAAAGTCTTTAAATGTTCGCCGGTTCCCACCTCCTTCTTCCCATAACAACAAACTACGTTACAATGTATAATACTGTATGATAATTTTTCACATTAAACCATATAGATTTTGGGTGAATTCAGGTAGAGATGGGTGAATGGAATGATATGTAAATTGGGAGGTGATCAACTCAAGTGTGATCATGTCTCGAATGGGGATGTTAATATAGCAAGAGAGTTCAGATGTTAATTTCCTTTTTCTCAGAGAGTGTCCCTCTCTTCCAGTTTTTCCAGTCTTACAATGTAAACGTAGCCAGTGTCACATGATCCTTCAGAAATCATTCTAATATGATGATTTGATGTTCAAGAAACATTTCTTATTATCTGAACATTTCTTATTACATTTCTTATTAACTGAAAACAGTTGTGCTGCTCAGTATTTTTGTGGAAACTATGTATATGTGTATGTGTGTATATATACAGTATATATATATATATGCCTAGTTCTGTCATGAAACTCTAGATGGCGCAGGCTTGATGGGTCCTTAACGGAGCTGATGATATTTACTGCGTTAACTACTTGGCACAAGCTGATTGGTTCATGTCGCATCTGAAGCCAATGACCTTGCTGCTCACAATATTTGAATGGCTGGTTAGCATTCATTATAGCAGTTTGCAGCATGCTTTCAGAAACCCTCCACCTCAGCTCCACCTGTATAGAACCTGTATGATATATGCTATTTGTGCATCAATATTATGATATATGCTGTATGATAAATGCTATTTGTGCATCCATCTTCCCCAGCTCCACCTGTATAGAACCTGTGTGATATATGCTATTTGTGCATCATTCAACAGTATAACTTACATAATCACAGCAGAATATCAGCGTATGTATTGGCAGTAGCTAGCAAGTTCCGGTACTTGCTCTGCAGCAGCAGCGTAGCAGATCTATTCCGCCAAGACCAAATACATTAACATTGTCATATCCATTACCATGCTAAAATATTCAGAGAGTTGTCATGATTATAGAACATATATACTTTATTCTTGGTGCATGGACACTGTACTTTTGTCTCAGATGGGCTTGAAATTGGAGGGCCTCATCTTTTCACCTGCACATCCTGTATTATTTTGGTTTTGATTAATCCTTAGTGTAGAGGATTACTGATTTTGATTATCAAAAAAATAGCCAATCTTTGGGACTGAATAGCCCCACCTAATCCACATCCCCGTTAACTTTCACTCGCAGACATACAGTAAGCAAAATCTTGGCTATAGAGTCAGAGGCGGTGCAGTGCATTTATAGTCTTATCGCTTGTGGCCAGCCTGTCCACTCTGAACAGACAGAGCTGTTTCCGGTGAGGTGAGTTCAGCCGCCCTCTACGACAGAAAATAGGGCAGTGATGTCAATGCTATGTTCAAGATTTTCACATACTAATGTTGTTACCTCAGGGACCAGTTTAATCTCAATGCCACATCAATACTTCCCACAAATTAACAGCAGATTTACCTGAAGAACTAAAGGTTTATTTAAAAAAAGGATCTTGGCAATGAGAAATAAGTCTGAGGGTGGTGATTCCACATGACTAAGGCTTGCAGTTTTCCACAGCCCAATAAGATGTCAACATCTCTTATTTGGTCTTACTGTATTTTTATACTTGTTTTCTTTTTTCATTACTCTGCGTCTCGCCGCCTCTAAACCCCTATTTCTACTTGCCCCAGCTTTTTTCTTCCTCCTGTTTCCCTCCTCTCTCTGGTGAACAAGGCTCTATATATAACACACCCGGCTCAACTGAAGTTATTCTTACAGCTGCTGAGAAAGAAACCTATGAAAATTTAATTGCAAAAAAGCTGCAGTACATACTGGGGCTTTCAGAGCTCTCAGACATGGAGTGGATGAAAAAGAAGTGGGGCAGATTAAGGAAGACAGAAAAAGGGGAAGGGAGGAAGACTGTGCTTCATAGCTATGACAAAATGGCATTGTATATTACAAGTATAGATTTTTTGTTTTAACAAAGTCGCTTTGGATAAAAATGTCTGCTAAATGCAACAATGTAATGTAAATGAAAATAAAATACAAAGATATCAGCAGCTTCAGCTGGTTAATGAATGAGCCATTTTAAAATATCTGTAAAGGAATAGCTACTGTAGTTTACTTTATTTACTCATCCCGTTCCAAACTCCTGACTTATTTCTCTCTTTTTTTGGAGTGCAAAGGAAGATATTTAGCAGAATGCCCAAGCTGCTTTTTTTCCATTTAATGAAAGCAAATGGTGACCTTAAAAGTAATATTTTCATAATGTCTTATATTTTTAGTCTGTCCCTCATAAACAGCTATTATAGGCTTTAGAAGACTTTAAATAAAAAATCATATGGCCTACTTCTATGACTTCTAACCTTCTGCCGTTAGTCTAAAGGTCTGGCGAGACTATGTGAATGATGACACCATTTTCATTTTGGGGTGAACGATCCCTTTAAAACAAAAAGTGTGCTCTTGAAATGCTCCAAAACCAAATTGTGCAGACATTGTGACATCATCTGCGTTTTTCCTAAAGCAGCACTTGTGGGCTGTTTCAATCTGGGCTTTTGTAGCCCTGGTTCCTTCCCTAGAGGCAGTCAGTGGAGCAATGCCATACAAGATGGCTGCCCATTTGTTCCTCTCTGCAGTGGCAGGGTGCAGTGGTGCCGAGCACCCAGCTGTGTGTACCACAGATGAAGCAGCCCCAGCCAGATGGTTGCCACTGTCAGGTTGCACATCGCATGGTACATGGTGTCCTAGGATCTGACACGGTACTGTCATAGTTGTTCTCATCCTCTGTAAGCAGGGTCAGATTTCAACTTGCCCTCTCCCTATAAAAATACCCCCCCAAAAAAAGAAACGATTAACAATCATATGTCTTCCTAATTGACGCCATTGGAAGAGAGCTGTTGAGAGTCTTGGGAAGGCAAATGCAAAGAAAACCAGATGAACAAACTGTCCTCTCAGCTGGAGAGAGAAAAAATGTTTGAATGTGTGCCTCATTGTACTGACTGGGCTGTTTTATGCTGTTACAGAGCAATGATGCTTCAGGGAGCGCATGGAACTGGATGTACTTCATCCCCCTCATCATCATCGGCTCCTTCTTCATGCTCAATCTTGTACTGGGTGTGTTGTCAGGGTAAGAAACCTCAGGGAGTGTGAGCTCTTCTCAAAATCAGCTGTATCTTTTTTTTTCATGTCTACTCTTTTGGTGCATTGTCTAATTTGCTAATACATTTCAGTGTTTATGGTATTTGTGTGGATTGTATATGAAAATATGCAGTGTGTTGGGATATTTTGTTAAATTCATTATTCAAAAATTCAAGTTTATTCTATGTTTTAAATTACATTTTGAATCCCAGATTTTAGTGTTACAGTAAGCATTGTTCAAGTGAGGGATAATCCACAGCTAGCTGTGCATTAAACAATTTTAATGCACGACATGGAGGCAAAGAAGCTAATGCACAGCTAGCCATGGATTATCCTGCTTATACCATGGTCATTTGCCATCATTGACAACTTAAAGCTGTTATTGATGTTTACAGCACAATATTTGACCGGAAGGATCAAATTTACGGTTACTTTCATCAGTTACGGCTCGTTAAATCTAGCGTTATACCCGCTTTGAATCAGACACAGTGATAAAGTAGTGCTTAAGATTACATTTATTTGAATGAATGAATTATAGCATTTATTTAAATTAATTATCGAGAGAGTGAGCGAGAGAGAGAGATGTGTACCTGTGTCTGTTCAGCGTCCTCTCTATTAACAATGAAGCTATGATGAGTTTAATTACTTAAAAATAGCAATGTTACTGCTGCTGAGAAATATAATGTAGCGATTTATGAGCAAAGCTGTTTTATTACTAAACGTTGCGGGGCGGCATTGATAAGTTTCTGGTTCTGAATGTTTCTGTGTGTCTCTCCGCTCTGTGTGAGGGTTGTGTGTGTGTGTGTGTGTGTGTTTGTGCGCTTCAATGAAAACAGCGCATTAATATAGAACAGTGATTAAACTGACTTGGAACTTCCTGTGCATTAAACGGGTTTTGTTGATCACCTTCCAGCCAATCAGAATCGAGTATTCAGACAGACCATGGTATAATACAGTTTAATTCATCAGATGTACCTATAGATAATGTTCACTCAAAAATATTTAAAAACACCAGAAGGACATCACAAGCTTAAAATGCTTAAAATGATGTCTAAAGATATTAATTACGGAGAATTTGTTCCCATGATTTATTCATTTGTTCCCTCGTTCTTAATTTAGTTAAATCGTGGCCACAAATTAGTACAACATGGCCACATTTTAACTTAAATGAGGGCATCAATTAAGTCATGGGCTCAAGTTCTTAATTCCTGATCATTCTTTTTGTCATGTGCAGGTCTCCATAGTTAAGCAACCAAGGCAAGAAGGCAGTTATCCAGTGATTCTGATGATCTCAAAATGTCCAAAAAATGTCCAGTGTATCTGGACTAGTGTATATGTGCATTTTGTGTACATCTGTTGATGAGAATTTTTTTTGCATGCATGTGTGTATGTGATACAGAGAGTTTGCGAAAGAAAGGGAGCGTGTGGAGAACAGGAGCGAGTTTCTTAAGCTGAAGCGTCAGCAGCAGATAGAGAGAGAGCTGAACGGATATCTGGAGTGGATCTGCAAAGCAGGTAAATGCCATAGAAATAGCCATTAAATACTAGAGAAGCTAAAGCCAAGAATACAGATAGAAGCTTGTCTCTTTTGATACGGATGTCTTTACACGTGTACATTTCAGTCTTGGAACGTGCTGATAACGTACAAAATGTTTCATCAGGCATCATTTACGCACTAGAAATTGCCCCCACTTTCATGACTTTTGCAGTGGTCTGATTTGAATCTCTTTTTTTATTGTGTACAGAAGAGGTGATTCTGGCTGACGATGACAATGACCCAGATGACCGGATGCCCTTTGACGGTATTTACATGAACTCCTCTATCCTTCCTTCCTTTTCATCCCCCTCTCCTCCTCTCTTTGCTCCCTCACTGGGACTAGGTGTTGATTTCCCATTGTAAAGGAAGAGAGATATCAATAGCATGTTGACTTTGCTGAGGGGGTGATATTGTATACTTCATGTCCATAAGCACAGTTAATGCAGTGTACATGAGAACATTTACATGGACCGTCCATCTGTAGCTCACAGCATGTAGCTGTGATTTCTCAACTTCATATTTGTTTATGATCTATATAACAGACACACTACACTTCCTAGTTGTCTCTTCTTTTCTTCTTTGTTAAATTCTGTAATTCTATAATTCTGTGCCATTGAGTATTTTAGGCTGTCTGAATCTGTGTGTATGCTGTGAGTATGATCAATTAGAAATGAGTGATTATGGTCTGTTACACAGGCTCAAAGAGGAGGCCCACAATTAAGAAGAATAAAACTGAGCTGCTCGATGCAGAGGATGGAGATGGAGATATAGGTGTGCTTGAGAGTTAAACATACACTTAAACATTTAAATGCTGTAGGCTCAAGAGGTGATCAATGGGAATATTACCATAAAAATGCATGCTAGTGTTTGGTATTCTTTGAAAGACAAACCATGGTATATTAATATAAAGTTTTGAAATATATTTCATAGTACCATAGTAGTATTACATATTATTTTTAATTACAAAATATATTATTAGCATAACAATTTGAGTGAAAAGCTGATTTGATAAATTAACCTGAATTTCAGAATTAGTATAGTATCTGTTTTTTTTGTGTTGTTTTTTCCTTTTAGAAATCGTATGTGTTTTTTCCCCTTTAGATTTTCATTGAATTGTATCGTGTCCTGTTTCCCTGCCGCTCAGCTTCTCTGTTTCTTTATGGTCCGTCAGGTTCTCCATTTGCACGGGGCAGTCTGAAGAGCTCGAAGCTGGAGGGCTCTTCCTTCCATAAAAAGGAGCGTCGACTGAGATTCTTCATTAGGCACATAGTGAAGACGCAAACATTCTACTGGTCTGTGCTTTGTCTGGTGGGACTCAACACACTGTGTGTGGCTGCCGTGCACTATGACCAGCCTGACCTGCTCTCCGATTTCCTCTGTAAGTCTGTTCACTTGTCATTCACTAATCTGTAACACAGAATCTGCAAACTTTTCTGTATTTTCTCTGCATATTGTGTGGGGAAAATCTGTGGTTGTATAATCTGTGCAGATGTGCTTGTCAGCAGTTTAGAATCTGTGAAGTTTCTTTCATTGTCTGTAGATAAAGGAAGATAACATTCATTTTCTTTATTTTCCTTTATGTTCTATTTTCTAAAGATGTTACTCTGTTTCTCTTCTTTTATCTTAGTTTATTCAATAGTTGTTAGAAAGTATTATGGACCCCAAAAGTATTACATTTTGGGCACTTAATGTCTGAATGCCAATTTCATCACATTAATAATAGACATGTTCTTCTAGTTTGACAACTATAAAGTGTCCTAATCGTACACTTTCTACAACAACAACTTCTCTTTTTTGCTGACAAAAAGTGTGTGCTCTATGTAAAAAAAAAAAAAAAAAACTTTAATGCATGATACATTTTTGAATGTGGCTGCATTTCCTGTGTGGTATTCTTTCTTTTCTTCATATCTTTGTCCTTTGCAAACACTCTCTGTCTGTTTTCGCCTCTCTCCTCAATCCAGACTTTGCTGAGTTCACCTTCCTGGGGATCTTTATGGCAGAGATGTGTATTAAGATGTATGGGCTCGGGACAAGACCTTATTTTCACTCCTCCTTCAACTGTTTTGACTGCATCGTGAGTTTCTCTTGTCTTTTGTTCTATTGTCTTCTTTTAGTAAATCAGAAAGATTTTGGAGGAAACCAAAAGCATTATACCAGCTTTCCAATCATTCCTCTCTCAGGTCTTGATGTTGATATAGTTACTGAAATTAATTTGTATTATTCTTAATAATTCAGAATTCACTGTCACTGCACTGTAAAATAAATTGGCTTCTTAATCAGTATTTTAGTGTTGAAGATTGATGATTTTCAAGCAAAACTGTAAAATAATACAAGAATATGTTGAATTATGTACAATTTGTTTGTTTGTTTGTTTAAATTTGAAATGGACATACAAATAATTTCCATCAATATGCATTTTTGTTTTTCAAGATATTAAGATGTTAAAACTTAATTCAAGATTATTTTATCATGTTAATAAAATAATAATAATAATTATTATTATTATTATTAAAATATTATTTTGTTATTTTACAACAACAAAAAAATACTGAATAAGAAAATTATATATATATATATATTATTTTTTTATTATTAGTATTATTTTTTTGCAGTGTAAGAAGCAAATATGTGATAGTGTTTTGCATGGTTCAGTGGGTTTTGTTTTGTGGCTTAAAGCTGCAGTCCGCAGTTTTTCCTCTTGTGTCGCCATCTCTGTTCGAAATCTGCAATTGCAGTCATTCGAGGAATTATCAACTTTACGTGAGTTGTACCTCCGCACAGCGCGGATGAATCCAATGTTTTTAGGAGAATGTGCAGCTGTCAATCACCGCACGGTGTGTATACTGTCATTCAGAATCACAGATTCTACTTTTTTGAAGTATGACCAACATAATAATTTTCAAAGGCTATAAATCTCCATCTCCAACATCCTCACACGCAATATAGCCTATACTAGCCGAGACTCCTTATTTATGTGTACAGATGTGACGTAATGACGCAAAGACATGCTCGAATCTCCCGCGGAAAAAACATTATTACAAGCTTACAGTTTTGAATCGAGCTAAGGCAAGCAGATAGTTTTGAACACTTGCTGGTTATGTACTTGCTCAAAAATGTATTTTGGATAATTTTGAACCCAAAAAAGTTACGGACTGCAGCTTTAATGTTATTGAATGAGCTGTAAATGTGTGTATTTTGATGTATGTGCATGTATTTCTCTGTGCGTGTGTGTGTGTGTGTGTGTGTGTGTGTGTGTGTGTGGGACAGGTCATTTGTGGCAGCATTTTCGAGGTGCTCTGGGCTATGATCCAGCCAGGAACCTCGTTTGGGATCAGTGTGTTACGAGCTCTCAGGTTACTGAGGATCTTCAAAGTGACCAAGTGAGTCTCTCACGTCTCGAGTCCCATGTCTGTCTCTCCGTCCCTCTCTTTGTCGAGTTTCCCATTTACCCTTCAAGCTTTCTCAAGGACTAAGTTTCTTAAAAGTCTTCTCTTTTCCCTTTCTCAGATATTGGGCATCTCTGAGGAACCTGGTGGTGTCTTTGTTGAACTCCATGAAGTCCATCATCAGTTTACTCTTCCTCCTTTTCCTCTTCATTGTGGTTTTTGCATTGCTGGGCATGCAGCTGTTTGGAGGACAGTCAGTATAACACTAAAATAATGGCATTCACTTTTTTATTTCTTTATTTTTTTCTTTAAAATAAATAAATAATTTAGGCTGACTTAAATAAGACTGTAGAAAATACTCTGTGTAACAATAATATAGCAAAAATGTTGTCTTTTCAGATTTAATTTTGAATCCGGCACACCACCAACAAACTTTGATACTTTTCCTGCAGCAATAATGACAGTGTTTCAGGTGAGTAAATGTGCCCATCAAACTGTGCAATAATTCGGTTTGCTTTCCAAGGCTTTTTGATGATGGACCTTTCTGTGTACCTCAGATCCTGACAGGTGAAGACTGGAACATGGTCATGTATGATGGGATTGAGTCTCAGGGTGGAGTCAGAACGGGCATGGTCTTCTCAGTCTTCTTCATTGTTCTTACACTCTTCGGCAACTGTATCCAAACGCATAACATAGCATGCTGACATAATGTTTGCACAGTTTTCTCATACACTAATGAAGTATTAATGTTGCTTAACACCTCTGTGAACAGATACTTTGCTCAATGTGTTCTTGGCTATCGCTGTGGACAATCTGGCCAATGCACAAGAGCTGACCAAGGTAAAACCACACATAGGGCCAGATTTACTAAACAGGGCAAATTAGCGTGAGAGCGCAATCCCATAAAAGTGCTGATAGAAGTGGAAAGTTCTTCTCGTGATCTACTGACAATGTGCACAACCGCAGCCAGATCATTTGCATAATGACCAACGCAATCTACCAAGTGTAGCGCAAATTAGCGTCTGGTTTAAGACGTGCTTTTTTTGGGCCTTAAATAATGGCGCAAATACCTGTAAATTGACGTGCGCAAACCTTAGTAAATCGCGTTGTGTGATTCATTTAAATACTCTCCTTCCATAAATTTTGCGTCTGAAAGGTAAAATCCTGCAAATGCAATAATATCAGCCGCAAAAATAACTGCCCACACCTTTTCAGCGCTATAGCACTCAGTATGAGCACTTTTGATGACCACGGTTCTCTCACTCTTGTCTTTCTCTCAGACTGTTTATCCTTCACACTCCGCATCACATTTTAATCAATATGCTTCATGTTTCTCTCTATGTTTAGGATGAACAGGAGGAAGAGCAGGCAGCCAATAAGAAAATGGCTCTTCAGACGGCGAAGGAAGTAGCTGAGGTCAGCCCACTGTCTGCAGCCAGCCTCTCCATTGCTGCGTGAGTATCTCTCTCTCAGCACTCTCATTCTCTCTCTCTCTCTCTCTCTCTTTCTCTCTGTCCTGCAGCCACATTTTGTCTCCCACAAATTCTTTGTCCTCCTTATGTCTGTTTTCATGTGTTCAGACTATTTTTAGCTCTTGTATCAGCCACATTAACACACAGGTCAATCATAGACCCCCCAAAAAAAAACCACTTCAATCTAAGAATTTTTACTTGTTTTGGTTTCCATTCTTTTCATTGATGTTGTTCTACTCCGAACCTTAAATCATATAGAATACAAACATATCAACATTACCGTTCAAAATATTGGGGTAAAAAAAATATATAGTAAAAACATTAATATTGTGAAGTATCATTACAATTGAACTGTTTTCTATTTTAATACATTTTAAAATGTTATTTTATTCCTGTGATGGCAACGCTGAATTTTCAGCATCATTACTCCAGTCTTCAGTTTCACATGATCCTTCAGAAATCATTCTGATATGATGCTTTGCTGCTCAAGAAACATTTATTTATATTATCAATGTTGGAAACAGTTGTTCAATATTTTTGTGGAAACCATGATAGATTTTTACAGGATTCTTTGATTAAATAGAAAGTTCAAAAACAGCATTTATTTCAAATAGAAATCATTTTTAACATTAATTTCTTTTGCAGACCCAAATGTAAACCATAAGTCACAAAGACACACGTTTTTTTCCCCCCAGGCCAAATTATGTGTAAAAAAAAGTGACATTCTACCTTGCTGGAAATTCAGTTCAACTTTGGTACTGCATTTTGGAACATAGTAGCTGGTCTCTAGCTATTTTTATTATTACGGTAGTTGGTATATGTTCTAAATCACATATAGAACTTTAAGGCAACATACTTTTGTTTCCCCTGTTATATTTGGTGTCATACATATAATGTAATCCTTTGTCCTACAAGATCATCTGTGATCCTCTGACAGTTATATACACACAACTTACATGCAAAGGCACAGACCTATTGAATATGTTTCAGGTTTGTCCGAGTGTGAATTTATCCAAGTATTTGTAAGGAAAAGAAGAGAGAATCAGAAGAAAATATGTGTGTATTAGTGAGGACAAGTGTGTGAATGAGGAAGAAGAGCAAAGAGATGTTCTGTGTTTCACACATGCTGTTTTCCTCCTCAGCGTGACAGTAAACTCTGAGCGTCTTGATGCAACAGAACACTTTCTGGACTGGTATTTATTCATTTATACTCTTTCTGTTTTTTTTTTAAACGCCTCTCTATTCGCCCCACACCTCCCACTCTTCTCCCATCAGCCTTTTCGACATGTGCATTTCCTCCTCGGTTCTCTGTGCTGCTCCCCGCTCTGTTCTACAGACCGCTGGGTGGGATGGGACGGGTTTGTCACTCCTCGTCTCTTCTTCTCTCTTCATCCTGCTACTCATCATCTGCTGTTCTCCTCTTATCTCTTTTTCTTTTTCTCTTTCACATGCTTTGTGTTTGTGTGTTTGTGTGTGTGTGTGTGTGTGTGTGTGTGTGTGTGTGTGTGTGTGTGTGTGTGTGTGTGTGTGTGTGTGTGTGTGTGTGTGTGTGTGTGTGTGTGTGTGTGCGCGCATGTGTGTGTGTGTGCGCGTGTGTGTGTGTGTGTGCGCGTGTGTGTGTGTGTGTGTGTATGTTCTGTGAGTGAGTTTGACCCAGGCGGTGCAATCATCCTCTTTTAACAAATGGTAGCTGGTAGCTTGTAGGTGGGCATTTTCAGCCTGTGGTAACTGCAGCAACCTCACTTTTCCCTCTTGATGATTACTAATCTCAGATCTACTATAAATGTCTCTCTCTGTCTCTCTCTCTTTTCTGCAGCAATCAGCAACAGAAGAACAACAAAGGTTGTAAGTCAGTATGGGAGCAGCGCACTAGTGAGTTGAGGCGACAGACCCTGGTAAACAGCAGAGAGGCTCTTTACAATGAGTTGGAACCTGAAGAACGCTGGAAGGTGAGAAGACATTATAAAGAAAGAGATGGATATAAATATCAGTTAACAGCTGATTTATCAACATATTTATCGTATCGGTCGATATTGAATATTTAACTGTACTTTGCTCATTTCCTATAACAAATAAATTCCAATAACACTGTTACATGTAATCTCTTAATGAATATCCATTTTTCATATTGTATATTATAATGTTGTGGTGCCTAAATTCACTTTAGCATTTAAAATGATTGATTTTACTTTTTTTTATTTATTTTTTTTTATTAGAAAATAATTATATAAAATTCTAATATCGGCCATTTATCGGTTATTGAGCATAACATGAAAATAATTATCAGATTATCATATTGGCAGGATTATTGATGTTGGTGCTTTTTAATATGATCCCTAATCATAGTATATACAATTTACCTGTTCACCACAAAAATAATTTTCTTATTCAGTATTTTTGTCTTGTTTTCCAGTAAAAAATATCTAAAAAAAAAAACCTTTTAAGCAATCTATAAGCAAAATATGAAGTGTTATGATATTTAATTTTATTATTTTAATATGTTTAAAATATGTTAAATAAATACATAAATAATCATATTTGCTTTCGGGGAAAAATGTCTTGAATTAAGGTTATTTTTTTTATTCTTCTGGCAAATGTGGTTTTGTTTTGTTTTTAATCATGCATTCAGGTCTCGTACTCCCGTCACATTCGTCCCGATATGAAGACTCACCTGGACCGGCCATTGGTCGTGGACCCTCAGGAGAACCGCAATAACAATACCAACAAAAGCCGTCCGGGTGATGGCCAGCCCCAGCGTACTCATCAGCTCCTGCACAAACAGCCCAACTTCAATGAGGGGGAGAGTGGAGGAGGAGGTGGAGGATCTGGGCCCTGGCCACCGTTGGAAAGAGGGGACTCTACAGGATCTCGTCGGAGTCTTTTGGGCTCTGAGAACCATGGGGAGGGTAGAGAGTCTCACCGCAGACATCAGCATGGCGAGCGCTGCAGCCAAGCCCGTCAACATCGTAAAGCCCCAGAAGAGGACGGAGAGGGTGGAGGGAGGAGACACAGGAATAAGGGCAGGGAAAGAGGACCTGAGTGTGAGCATACAGATGGAGGAGAGCGTAAACACAGACGTCATCGTCATGAGGGCGAGGGAAGGAAAGAGAGAGGGGTGCGACACCGAACCAGGAAGTGAGTTCCATAGAAATGAATCTCTGGTAAAAAAAAATTGTACTATGCACTAGTTGGACGTGTTTGACAATTGACCCTTCGCAGGGAGTTTGATTGACAGGTGATCTGACCAATCATAATCCGCCGAATCCACCATTTTTGTCTGACAAAGCAGTCAGGAGAGTTAGTAGATTAACGTTGGAGGATTTGAACTTGAAAAACGGTGTGTACTAACGTCTTTCTGCAGTTGAAACAACATTCCTTCTTATGTTCATTCATGTTTATTTGATGCTAGAAGGAAGAGATGATCAGTTCACCAGCAGCTTTAACTGAGGCTCTACAGCGATCTGTCAGACACATTAAAGAGCCACAAAATGGTATTTATTGTTAAAATTTCTTTTAAAAATGACCAAATTTGAAAGGTGAGACTTTGTTAAAAGTAACCTGGTCTGTCCTGTCTGTCAGCGCGTTGTCAGTGTCCTCGCTGCTCCGCAATGTATTTTTTTACTGCGTGTGAACATGGTGTGGTGTGAGAGCGGCGTGGCTTGTCGGACATAGCAACAGTAACTGAAGGGGGCGGGTCTTTACAAACAGTCAATTGCACTCTCCTCTCGCATCTTTTCAAGTGCATTGAAAAATACAGTTCTTAAATTACAGGAAGTTACATTTTTTTTAAACTCAGAGGTGTAAAGTCCAGGGGTCAGAAAGTAAAAGTCCTGCCATATGTTCATTCCACCCATGAACTCAGCCAGCTGATTTTACTGGTTCTATCTCCTGGCTGAAAAACTGTGCTAATTAGCAAATCTAGGTGATTGGAACAAAATGCCGAGGAGGACTTTTACTTTCTGGAATTTACACCTCTGAAAAAACTCCAGTAACCACTAGCAAATCATTTTATCATTATGGATTACGACTTATTCGCAAAACTCTATTTTTGCGCTATTTTCCTGCAGCAGTTAACCAATATTCAGATCCGCGGTTTAGATGAGGTCATTTTCGGCATTTTAAAGGGCTGATACAGGTGTTTGGATCACAGTCATGGAATTTTATGTTACATTTAACTACATTCTTAAAAAATAATTACAAATGTCCTTTGACAGTAGAGTACATTTATTATTATTTTATGTATTATTTGATAATTGTTCATTCTTAGCGAATTCCTCCCTGAGGTTCCTAAAGAGCATGTCTTACACTTGTACTAATCTTTCTGTCTTCTTTCATCAGGGATGGTCATGGAAGTGGCCTTACTCTCTCCACGACTCGTCCCATTCAGAAGACTCTGTCCAGGCAGGACAGTCAGTACAGTGAGGACCTGGACAATGCCATGAACAACAAGCTTGCCACCCAGCCACCTAGTAACTCCACCCCACATGATAGTCTGCTCAATCTGGCCAACAGTGCCCACAGTGCCGGCCTGGCACATACTGGCACAGAGAGCAGCCTCATTCTCACCAACCCTTCCTCATCTACTGCTAATGTTGCTAGCACTGGACACCTGGGCATGAAACCTGACTACACTGCCGTGGACATCCCCCCGATGTTCCCCTCCAGTAACGCCATCCTACAGGGTTAGAGAAAGAGCTGAAGAGGATTATTTACCTTTTTCATTTGTTGAATCATCTGTCTTACAGTGTTACTTCCTTTTGTCACATCTCCACAGTCAATAAAAATGCCAACACTGAGCCCCTGCCCAAGAAGGAAGACACAAAGGGTGATGATGATGATGATGATAAGAAAGATGATGGGGATAAGAAACCCATGCCACCCTTCTCCTCAATGTTCATTCTGTCTACCACCAACCCGTGAGTGCAGTCAACTTGGTGAAACTTACCAGTTAACTTCTAGTTGGCACTGTGACTCTGCAGTTAAAGTCAATGGGTCTCATTCATGAAACACGAGCAGAACGAATTTTTGTGTAAATCGTGTGTAAAGTGGTTCTGGCGTAAATTTTCGGATTCATTAAAATGTTCGTATTTTCCAAATGTTAGTTGGTACACAAGAAATCTACACCTGCTCCCAGCCACGCGTAAATAGTGCGCTTAAGACCCCAACGTTTTGCTCATTAATAAGGCTGCATTTTAATTCACCTTAATCGGGTACATATTTGCACAGCATTTTGAAAAAATATTATATATAGTAATTACATACGGTTTTTCTTATTATGAGAGCCAGTAATAGCATCTGCGATGGTGGTCCTTCTCCAGTTTGAATATTATTTTTCCGAAGTAAACTAATTCGTTTTTTGCTCTCAAGCTTAATGTCGAACCATTTTCTTCTCACTTCTGGGAATGTTCGATTAACAGATGAAACTCCATTAACTGCATCTGTAATATGCTGCCAAGCTTCCTTTTTTTTTAGGACCCGATATGCCACTATGTACGCTTGAAAATAAAATGTGGCGTTTTGAATGAACTTCTGATAATAAAACTTCAATTTCTGCATCTGAGAAATTTTTTTTTTCATTCGCATTCATGTCATAATATGATGCCCATATATAGTTGTCAGTCGGATTTAATTGGCGGGATTTATGGTAATTGAGAATGAACGTGCACGCGCATCCCATTTACGACTGATTGGAATTCATTAACACACACACACATTTCACTATCACATCTGACGTTTACGAAGTATTTGTGAATCAGGAGAAGAGTTTTCGGGAAGGTCTCTTTACGCGCAAATCACTCGCATATTTACTCGTATATTTACGAATGTTTCATGAATGAGACACAATATGAATTCAAATTAACACAATACATTAACAATTGTGCACATTAACCCTCCCCTCCAACTACCTGTCTCTAATCTGCTATTTAATGACCACTTTTCAAAGTTCAATCAATTCCAATGGATAAAAACAAATCCTGTCCCCTTTTTCCGTAGTTGAATGTACTGTTTCTTTTTTAAATTCATCCAAATATGGAAGTAAAATGAGTTGCAAACACTGTTTGATATCTTTAAACAAAACTGATAGTCACCTGGTTTCACCTTGTACTGTATTTTTATTTTATTTATTTTATGAAATTAAATAAGCTTTCGATTGAAAACATTCTCAATGTTGATGTAGTTGTTGTTTTTTACTACATGGTCTATTTTATGAACATGTGTTTTAGATTTCGGAGGTTGTGCCACTATATCGTCACGCTCCGATATTTTGAGATGTGTATTCTGTTGGTCATTGCGATGAGCAGTATTGCCCTGGCCGCTGAAGACCCCGTCTGGCCCGAATCTCCCCGCAATAATGTGAGACAGTCCCACATCTCAACATCCTCTATTTATGTCTATGTAGTTCAGTCCACTTTTGTCTACTGGACTAGTAGCCATCTCATCTATCTATCCGTCCATGATTCTAATCATTACCCAATCTATCCATTCATTTCTCCATCCTTTCATCTGTTTATTTATCATTCTTTACATCCATCTTGGCATAATTGTCATAAATTATTTCTCTTTTGTGCTTGCAGGTCCTGCGGTACTTTGACTATGTGTTCACGGGTGTGTTCACCTTTGAGATGCTCATTAAGGTACACATCTGTCCTCCTGTCTGGGCTATGATGTTCTATGTCACTCTTATATACATTATACTTATCTATATTATACTTAAAGGTGCAGTAAACACTGTTAAAATCATCCCAAACAATTGCCTGATCATAACCCTTCCTTTTCCAGTGATATTCCTCTGAGCTTTTCTCTTTTGAGAAAACCAATCTCTCAACCAATCACAGTTCGTTTTGTTCCACTTCATGTTTCGGGGCGTGAAAATATAATGTCATTGTCCCTACAATAACAGACTGATGTGCATCTAATAAATAAAAATAAAAATCCAGCGTTTAGTTGATCCTGGTAAGCGCTCATTGTCACAATTGTAAACACAACGACTTGCTTCTTCCACGAGGGGATTTTGACGTCACGACATTTGTTTCCTGGCGGACCGTCAAAGAATGTAACACGCATGTCTCCCAGACAAAGAATGCAACACACAAGTCTCCCGGACATCCTGTAGAATTCAACCAATCAGATCACTACTTCAAAACTCCTGAAGTGTTTCCAGAAAAGTGTGCCATATGCATTAGACGTTTAGCCAACGGTCCATGGGCGTGATGTTTGAGGCTCAGACTATGTGTTGTGCTGCTCGGTCCGATCCACTTTCAACAGTTTCTCAAAAATGGCACTTACTGCACATCTAATGGTGCGTTTATTGGTCTCCACGTTATCATTACTTGAAGTATTATAGGCTTCAAAATTATTTAAAGTACATAGCTGCATAGGGTACCCATGATTAAACCTGGAAATGTCAAGAAATTTTAAAATAATGATTATATTATGGAAATGTAATAAAAATTTAATTGTTTTAAATTAAATACACATTGAATACATTTTGCTCTCAATTACATCACTCTATAGAATAATCGTTAAATCCTAAATCACGAATATCTGGAAAATCTTGGAGATTCATTAGCCAAATGGTCTGTGAACCCTGAATGTAATGGAATTTGAAATAAACACAAAGTGCCTAAATATACTATACCATTCCAAAGTTTGCAGTCAGTAAGATTTTTTTTAAAATAAATCAATACTTTTATTCAGCCAAGATCCATTGAATTTATCAAAAGTGAAAGTAAACACATTTATAATGTTACAAAAGATCTCTTTTTCAAATGAATGTTGTTCTTAAGTTTCTATTCATCAAATAATTTATCATGGTTTTCTCTAAAATATTAAGCTGTTTTCAAGTCAAAGTTTTCAACATTGATGATGATAATAATAATAATAATAATAATAATAAATCTTTCTTGAGCATCAAATCATAGAATGATTCCTGAAGGATCATATGACAGTGAAAACTGGAGAAATGATGCTGAAAATTCAGCTTTGCCATCTCAGGAATAAAATTACATTTTAAAATACATTAAAATAGAAAACAGTGATTTTAAATGCAATATCCACAACATCACTGTTTGTATTGTATTTTCGATCAAATACATGCAGCCTCGGTGAGCAGAAGAGACTCCTTTCGAAGACATTGAAAAATCGAACCGACGCCAAACATTTGAATGGTCATGCATTTAGTAAACATTTGCTGTCTGTGTTTCAGATGGTGGATTTAGGTCTTGTCCTGCATCAAGGCTCATATTTCCGTGACCTGTGGAACATCCTGGACTTTATAGTGGTTAGTGGTGCCCTGGTGGCGTTCGCCTTCACGTAAGTGTCATCAAAGCTCCAGCGCTCATGCCTCACTCTGCTCTCCTTCCCTGCTTGCTGCCTCTCCTCGTCCTTCCCCGTCTTGCTCCCTACAGGTCTAACGCCTGTGCAGTTGACACGGCTCTCTGCCACCCTGGAGCGCCAGCCTGCTCCCCATACAGCCCAGCTCTTTCCATCTCTCTCCTTCTTTTCTTTCTCACCATTTCTCTGCCTTTCTCTCCTTCCCCAACTCAGTTCTGTGCATTTGGCATATCTTGACCCTCTCTTTCCCTCCCCTTATCCCTCCCCACATTTAGCCCCAGTTCTCCTTTTGGAGATTTCTCACTGCATCTCCCCACACTGCCCCACCATGCACCACATTTGCGCAGTGCCTACCCAGTGGGTGCACTTGGGCCCATTTCCATGAGGGTGATGACCCTGCCTGGGCACCTGTAACCCTTTAGTGCCCAGGACTCTCTGGAGCATCCAGCCACACTCACCTCAGGTATTTCTACTCCCCACCTTTTGTGCCACATACCTTGCTGGAACCAAGCATGAGGAAAACAGACAAGAAGGAAGTGACGAGAGCAAGAGGAAAACATTCAAGGGACCATATGCTAAACTTTTGTATCATTTATAAGTCGATTTACAATTAATTATAATTAGTTAAAACTTTTCAATATTATTTTACATGACCATTTCTTACTCTAAATGGCCTTTCACACCAATGAACGATTACTAACTATAACTATATAGTTTTAATAAGCATTCTAATTCTATGAGAATATTGAAGTTCACACGACAGCTATAACAATAGCACAGTGTAACGATATTGGAACCCCTTTAAGAAAGACATTTTTCCAGGTGATGAATGATAAAAACATTAACGGCCAATAAGAATTCATCTGACTTTATAGACTGCGAGTATTTAAAGCAGCAGGCGACAAAACTTCAGAGCACGCTTATAATAAACAGAAAATGATTGTCCATAGGTTTGGATGCTAATATAATTATAGTTGTAGTTGTTTTTATTGTTATCGTTCTTAGTGTGAACAGACCATAAAGCAGAATTAAACATGCTTGTGTACCTCTTTAAATAAGACATATATGTAAATGACCCCTCTTATGATTGGCTGATCTGTTTACATGTGAAATTAGTTATAATGCTTTTCTTTGGGTTGAGGGTTGTAATTTTTTTGTAGCAGTCCATGCTAAAATGAGCTGCTCAAACTGTTAAGATCAGACTGAAATTATCAGGGATCTTGTTAAACAAACTAGTATAAATAAAGCCAGGAACAAAGAGGGAGGGATTTATGTTTAGCGGTCAGGAATTGTGACAAGAGACAATAGGAATGCTTGTGAATGACTGTTGTATCTGATCTCATTGGAAACATTCAGCCCGGCTACAGGTCTGAGAGAGTTCTTAAAATGAGGGAAAGGTCAGAAAGGTGCATCTGTTACTATGAAACTGGAGAAAAAAAATGCATGTGAATGGCTCTTTTCCAGGCTTAGTAAAGAGCATGTGAGTGGATTCTGGGAATCGACATAATCTGAGATAATCTGAAATGCAAGCATGAATGGAAGAAATATGATGAACCTTGATCAATTGTTGTTTCTTCCTAAAATACCAGAATCTGAACGCTTTGAAATGGTAATATTATATGGTCCTGTGTATGTGTTTGTGTACATCCTCCTCTGTCCCTGAACAACTGATGTTCTTTTCCACAACAAAAGTCCATATGCAGTGCAGTTCTAGACTGACACAGGCCTTTAGGTGGATATACACATGACATGACATGTACCATACCAATAACTTGTGAATGGCTGTGAGGTAGAAGAATTCATATTTATAAAGACCTGTTCACACAAGTCTGACGTGACAAAGTGTAAAAGTGTAAAATATTCGGAAATCATTTTGCACAACAGATGTGTTGTCTGATGCCGAATTTCCAATGCTCATTGAATGTATTTCAATTCAATTCAATTTCAGACTTGTGAAGTAGTTTATTGAGATGCATTGGTTTTTTAAATGTTTTTATGCCACATATTAATACTTGGTTTGGCCAAAATGTTATACACAATTTGAGTTGTAACATTTAAGGATAAAATAAAAATAACATTGTTTGTGAGGACAAATTGAGCTTGCAATCTGCATCTTTCCCAGCATGACTTTCTTAAAGAAATCCCCTTAAGCATCATGGTTCCCTTTCCCTTTGACTACCAATTCCACCCGACCCCACTTCCATTTGCACTCACATCTTTAGCTCCAGCATGACATGAGTGTCTTATTAAGTTATTCATAAAGAGGCATTTGGATGTGCCTGCATTTCCCTTCGAAAAATACTGTACTCCTTCCTATCATCGCTAGATTCTCCCGTTTCTCTTTCTCCCCCTCCCTCTCTCTCTCTCCACACAGCGTAGAGCGCTCGGAACGGCAGGCGCTCTGGGGTGACTGGCGCTCCCTGGCTGAGAGCGTGGGAACAGTTCCCATATCTCTGCTATCTCTCACAGAGTCTGTTTTTAACCTTTTACTCAGTTTCAGGGAGTGACTCGTATGTGTGTGTATACTGTATATCTGTGCATGTTTATTTAGTATTTTGTGTACAGGGTCCAAGATTAACACTTGTAGAGAACGCCAAATGCACACAAAAAGAGGCTTTTGCGAGTATATGAAATGACATGCAACTTTCCTTGACACTGGAAATCAATGCATGGTTGAAATTGCCAAGGATTGAAAAGAACAATGAAGAATTGATCCTGTTTTTTGCTCCTCAACTGGAGCGAATTCAAATATTAATAAACGGAGCAATTCCAATAGGGTCCTCACACCATCGGCGCTCGGGCCCTAATGAAGGGATTATTATATTTTATTTTATTAAATTTGTCTATACATAAACTTCTGAAGTTATAACAATGAAAAATACAAATAAAAAGATATTTTTCAGGTTAAATAAGGGGTGGTCTGTATTTATGAGCTTTAAGTTTTTCTCAATTTACCCACCCAGGCTGGTATAAGTTAATTTTGGACCCTGTTTATATATATTTTTGTATTTGTATTTCAATTGTTTTAAGTGTTTACACTAGATTAGGTGTCCACATATAACCAAACTAAGAGGTCTGCCACTATTTTGTGATTCTCTGTATTCTCTGTCTCATATGGATGTTTTTCCTGCTTCAAAAACCCCATTCTTTCCCTGTGCCTCTGTTTCTGTGTGTGTTATGTGTCTTTGTATGTGTCTTTGGCTCTGTCTGTCTCTGTCTTCCTGTCTCTGATCATCTTTCAACACCTACAGTGGAGGAGGCGGTGGGGAAGGAGAGGGGTAATGTCTCTTTCTTTCTCCCTTTCCCCTCTGTTTGCTCTAATTGCCTGTCCTTCTCATTACACGCCTGTCCTCTTCTTCTATAGACTGATCTGTCTGTCTGATTGTCCGTCCAAATGTCCTCTCACCACGTCCCTCACACATAGAACACATGCCAAGTGCAAGTCTTTAGCCAGCTGCAGTAACTTAATCTTACTGCTAATAAACTCTTGGTACAATCTACAGTATGTGGACACCTAAATGTGTTAACATACGTGTTTGTGTCTATGTGTACGTGTGTGTCTCTTTGTTTCTGGGTCGGACGTTCGAAGACGTTGTCTGAAATGTCTAACAAGTGTGGTGTGACTGATTTACAGCAAGTAAAATAGTCATGGAAACTTGACTCGTTCAATGAAATAAGTGCCTTTTTGATTGTGGAAATGCGACTTTTAAATTTATGTATTTTTATAGATTTATAGAATGTTTTTAAGTGCGAATAAATGTCATTGTGATTATTGTATTATTACTTTTATATTACATTCTATTACTTTTACATGTAGTAATTTAATTCATTTTTATTTAATTTTAATATATTTAACTTTTTATGTTATTTATACTTTTTATATTTAAAGATTTTGTAGTTAGTAGACTCCATCAGATGACTGGACACAGGTGGTCCTTTCATGGAATGACTCACTTACAGACTAATACAACTAGATCTGGACATGATAAAAATCAGCAGATTAGACCGATGCACTTTACTGATGCACAGTACAATTGTCAGGCCCGTGTAAAGCAGTGAAACAAGACAACACAGAATGCATTAGGACCTCTTATGGCTGAACAGGGTCTATGCCCAGAAAGATAATACCATAATGGGATTACAGACAATCAAACTGCTCACCTCCTAGAAGGGCACTGTCCATTTGAGATGTGCATCAACATTTTGATGAATGCTAGGTCCAATTAGGCAGTCTATTTATTGTGGCAAAAGAGAGAGAGAGAGACTGCATAACTATATGCAGAACTGAAAAAATTAGTAAAACAGTGAATCAATTGATCATTTGCTTTTATTAGCAACAGAAATAAAATACACCAATTTTGAAATACCGTAGTTAAATTATATATATGTGTTTGCATTTTTTTTACTCAAATTATTTTTGTAAATATTTTTTATTATTAAAAAGAATTATCAGAATAATTATGCCAAGTTAATATGTTTACATTACGCTGTTCGTGTTTGCCAAGCAACATGGCAATAATATATAATGTATGATCACTGGTTTGTTTTTGCATATTACAATGGCTTTGAATGCAGCTCATTCAATCAGAAGTGAGAGTCGTAACTATTTTATTATATTGGTTTTGACGTTTTTCTCGGTGGACCACTTAGTATACAATATAAAGGTCTCAGCATACATTTCTCATTCCTACTTACTACACACCTTTCAACAGGTGTACGCTAGTTTTACTTTTGGGGTTGATTGGCAAAAGGACACATTGGAATAGGACAGATGCACTGCATGGTCAAATATAGCATGTTTGAGTAAGTTAGTGGCACAGACCGTTCTAACTAAGGGCTCTTTAGTGATGAGATTGATCCAGATCATCTCTTGAGAATGAAAAGAGATGAGTGAGACAACGTCTCTCATGCCATATAGAGAGATGTTTGTTGAGAAGGTCAGTGTTTGTTTATGCCACACAGTTGCACACGTGTACAGTTTTAAGCCTGTTTTGACTAAACTTTATTAGCCTTGTGAACTGCTTAAGCTGACAGACTTGAGCTTGCTGGGAGTCTGATTTTTGTTTTGTTGTTTATTACACAGCAGAATGCTGTGTAATCTTTAAGAAAGAAAATTTCTCCTTTGTTATTTCTAAACAGTTGTTGCCACAGTTGCACATAAAGTAGCAGTTTGTGATAGTTTGTGCATGTAGAGTAAATCTCTTTGAATCACATGCAGACTCCAGTAGAGCTTTGGGTCTCCATTGCCCTGCAGGTGAAGCGCTTATGGTCATATGACTGTGCCATGTGTATGTGACAGTATGAGCTTTAAAGTACCGGTACTTGATCATGAGATCACGATGAACAAGGAGGCATGGCAACTAACTGCGATGAAGTTACATGCAGAATGGCACTGCATGTTTACAACTCTTCTGTTCAAATAGATTTAGATTTGTGTGTGTATGTTAGCTATAGTCTCAGCCTCAGACGGCATGTCGGCAGACCACCCACAGTTTGTTCAACGACTGTCTGATGCGTAATATACACAAAAAATGGCAACTTCAGGCTGAAATCAACAGTTCAAATCTGGTTGGCTTGATTTATGGTACTTTCAGGAGGCATTCCGCACAGGATTATTATCAGTTCACTGGGAAAGAAACGGTTTAAATGGTACCAAGTTAAGCACTTTTAAGGAAGAACTAATGAGTAGATTTGCAAAAGTTTAGCAGGTTAGTGCTATTAAATCTTCTGTTTGAGATTTGTTTGACTTTGAACCAGAAGCACATTTTCTGCTTTGTTTTCTCGATTTTGTCTATGAATACCTAGTACTACAAGCATTTTCCTTGGATTTTTTGCTCCATGAGAAAATGTGAATTCATTTTTTTTTTTAGTGAAAGACTATTACGGTATAAAGTGCAACAGTATCTTTCCCATTCATTTTTTTTCATAGGAATAAAAAAAAAAAAGTCATGAGCCAAACCAACCAGCTACAAGGTGAATCACAAGAAGAACTTTGATTTGAAGCAAAAAAAAAAAAATTGAAATTATAAAAAAAAAAGAAAGATACGAGACCGTGTACTTAAAGGCTACTATTCCATAAAGTGTTTACGAATGATATAATCAAATTGGAAACGACAGATAAATATAAAGCTAGTGATTTAAAGATGTTTATTGTGTATATAGAAACAATGCGTATAGTTAATATTTAAGTAGTTTGAGAGAGTATGAAAGTGCTTCATGGGAGTAGGTGGCCACTAAAAGTTTATAAGTTATTGTTTAAAATCAATTCCCCTTGGAAAAAAATCAATTGAGTTTTTACATCTGGAACCTGACTGCTGCACAGCATTGTGGTAAAAATTATTTAAAATAACCCCACCCCTGAACATAACGTAAAACCAAAACAGACTGTGGTTGGTCGGCTTACATGTCAGTCATGCAGTCACTTCCTGCCTAAGTGGGCGGTTCTTGGCCAGAATAAGCTGCCAAGAGGACCAGACGTTTTGCCGCAAGTCAAAAGTCTGGCTATATAAGACTAAATGTCCTGCTGGTGTTGCATATAGTTAAGAGTTTTGTAAGTAACATAAATGGTAAGTGAACACACATGTATGGGTGTGTGGATTTGCACTAGTATAATAATTCACAAGCTTGCATCCTTATTTCTTTCTTTTTACTGTATGTGTCTCATATTAATGTATTTCTTCCTTCAAACTCCCTTTCTCCCCTGTGTCTTTGTGCGTATGTGTGTGTGAATGTGTGTCTGATTCCTTTCTCATCTCTTCAACTGCTCACACCTACAGCGGAGGCAGCGGGTAATGTCTCTCTCTCTCTCTCTCTCTCTCTCTCTCTCTCTCTCTCTCTCTCTCTCTCTCTCTCTCTCTCTCTCTCTTCCTCCTTTTGCTCTTAATGCTTGTCCTGGAAATTACATAGCTTTCCTCTCTTTCTTTTTTGGATTTGTCTCTATGTCTGTCTGAAAGTCACCCATCTCCTTCTATCGCTCTGTCACCGTTCCTGTGTTAACCACCCGTGGGTGATCATTCAGTCCACACAGTCCTGATAAGGGGGTTTGAGAGGTCCCTCACCTCTACACCCGTCACTCTAACAGCAGTTCTCTGATGGACGCTTGTTTATGCTTGACAGTGTGTAACCACATCTGCTGAGAGAGCAGGATTCGGCACGGCACTGGAAATCAAGAGCACTGCCCTCTATACTTGACACTGAGACAGAAGAAGAAGAGAGGAAAGGGAAGACAATAAAGATGCAAAATATGAAGAGTTTGGTTCCAAAACGCAATAAATCCATTTAGATTAATTTGAGTAAAAATGTGTTTTCTTTACCAAGAAAGTGGAAAGATGAAAACCACTATTTTCTGTTTCAAACGTTCACATAGCATTTGTAGGTCATAATAAAAAAAATAAAAAAAATCCAGGTTTTGATTTTCAAAGATTTATAATAAAAACGGATTATTTTTTTCCCCAAAATGCAATAAATCCATAAAAAAAAAAAAAAAAAAAATGCAATTAATCCATTGAATCAATATAAAAGTTTTTTTTTTCATATTGAAACTGTTGAAAATACACAACAACGTAAGTTTATTAGTATAATATTTTTATTAAGAACTGTAAAGAAGATTGAAAACATTTTTCCTCCTCCAGAGTGCCTCATCTTCTTAATCTCCTCACGTAAATGATTCGATTTCGATGCCTTACGTTTCTCACCCACCGCAGAAACAACCACAGGTTCATCAATGCCTCAAAATTATTCATTTTTTTGTTTGTTTGTTGATCGAAAAGTACAAAATCGATAAGAAAACTAGGAAGCCGGGTGTATTTAAGGCGCTGCCGTTACTGTTTACATTGCGTGGAATGGTGCGTTGTGATTGGTTGAGAGCGGATATATCGCATTCTGCAGAGAAGGGAGACTGGCGTTTGTCGCGGTTTGGAAAGAAAGGGAGAAAACATGACAGAATAACACGGCGGATATCGCATTTTACTTAAAATTAAACATTGACTTTTCAATACCAACCAGATACAATACTGATTTTTGCAGTAACTAATTTTTTTTCAAAATGGCGTTTATCGCGTTTTGGAACCAAACTCTTCATATATAGAGAAAACATACACATTTTATACAGTGAGGTCCAAAAGTGTTAGAGCAAATTTAAAATCTGGGATTTGTTCATTTAAACTTGGAAATAAACAAAGTTAGAGGATTTAGACACAAAAACAATTGGTTTCACCAACCACTCAAAACCAAAATAAATAGTGTTCCAACCAATCACCGACAGGGGTTCGTTGATAGATGCTGGCTTCTTCTTCAGCTCCGACTTCGCGTGCAGCCGTGCACGAGCACAAAACCTCACAACACCCACTCCCTGTCGGTGATTGGTTGGAACACTATTTATTTTGGTTTTGAGTGGTTGGTGAAACCAATTGTTTTTGTGTGCAGATCTCAGAGCCTAGGCTGCCTTCAGAGACGCGTTTTTTGACTGTCTGCTTATGGGGCGGACCGCTTGCAGAGCGTTAGGAAAGATTAGATGAATGTGATCATTTATGTTTTGGCCTGAAATCGCTAATACAACCTTTAATGCATTAGATGATTTGATATCATAAACAAGGTTGTTTACACCGTGCTGTCTATTTGGTATACTATTTGGTGCGTTCATCTTTTTAATTATTTTTTAACACAAACGTATCATAAACTAACAATTAACTATTATTTTACAGAATTTACTAAACTATGTTCATGTGCTTATATATAGTACTACTGTTCAATAGTTTTTTGATTAAAAAAAAATACTATTATTCAGAAAGGATCCTTTAAATTTATCAAAAGTGACAGTAAAGACCTTTACATTGTAAAAAAAATACATTATATGTATTCATAATCGTTTTTTTTTTTTTTTTTTTTTTTTACTTTCTATTCATCAAAAAATCCTGAAAAAAAAACGTTCCACGGGTTCCACAAAAATTTTAAGCAGCACATATTAGAATGATTTCTGAAAGATCATTTGACACTGAAGTTGTATTATATTAATTTTGAAAAAAAGTTTCACTTTTGGACCCCATTGTATGTGATGAAAGTTATCAAAAGCATTTCTGTGATATAAATTAGTTTACAACCACACATTTCCATAGTTTAGTCTTCAGTGTACAACTTTTGTATTTAGCTTGCTGGTCACTAGCCGCACATCTGCGATCCAACAGCTGTACACACATGTGCTCGGGTACCACAATAGCGACGTGCAAACTGTGATAATATAAACCAGAAAGTCTTCAGATCAACTATCTTCAGGGTGACACGATTCTTCACACTACAGAGCCAGGGCTGATATAACGGCACTGTAGAAGCTGGAGGGACTGGATGTGTGTTTCCAGGTCCTTTTATATGTTTATTTTTTGTGTTTGCCAATGGACAACCCCAAAAACAAGAAAGAAAGAGGTTTGGCTGGGCATTCCACAGTGGTGATGCCTGAGTCTGCTCCGTATGTTTCATGCTGTCATCATGGCAATGTAATGAAACCAGCCATTGTTCCTTGGGAAAAAGAGGTACAGTGGTGGTTCCATCATGGGCTAAGACGGGATATTACATCCACTGAGCGAGTATCCAGTACAGCATGAGCAACATCAGCGAGCGTGTCTGAGAGTGCGTGTTGACAGATTGACTGAGTGCATGTGTTTTAGTATTTGTCTTTCCTAAGTACTGTGAAATGGGCTTGATTGTCTGGCTACAACAGGCTACATTCTCAGTGAGGAGACACAGACGAGATTCCTGATTGGCTGAAAGTAAATGTGTGGATGTAGCAGGCATGTTTCATTGTTTTAACAGCCTGAGCTACTAACTCACCCCTAAATTGTGTGTGCAAGACCAATTACCCATGTAGCCTAACTGCCATTTCACTTTCTAACTGTGTGTGTGTTTGTGTTAATTTGCAGAGGAAGCAGCAAAGGGAAAGACATCAGTACTATCAAGTCCCTGCGTGTGCTCCGAGTTCTGCGGCCTCTGAAAACCATCAAGCGTCTGCCCAAGCTGAAGGTACCTCTGTGTTTGGCTGTTTTTCCCTGTGTTGTGTGTGTGTATGTGTGTGTATGTATGTATATATATGTATTGTGTATATATATATATATATATGTGTGTGTGTGAGGGATAATGTATAGCTCCGCTTCGCGTCGGGCTCCTAGTCAGCCTGTCGGGGTGGTATTCGCTATAACAACCGCCTCGCTATACATTATCCCGCTTATTACATGGCTACCTACCAAATAAATCAATAATTTGGCTCAATAGACTCATTAGATTTTTTATCTATTGGTATTTGCTCCAGCAAAAAAATAGGCCCACAACATATAAGATACTTTTTATTCCTGTTTGCACCAAACACATCTGGTGGGTTTGCTGCCAAAAAGCCCTCTTTTTGTTTCATCTGACCACAGAATCCGATCCCTTTTGAAGTTCCTGTCATGTCTGACAACTAAATATGCTGGAGTTTATTTTTTGGAGGAGTGAGGATGATATATCTTGAAACCCTCCCAAACAACATGTGGTGATGTAGAGGTTGTTTGATATATTTTTTTGATATATTTTTTCTGACCCCCAAGACTCAACTAATCTCTGCAATTCTCCATCTATGATCCTTGAAGAGTCTTTGGCCACTCAAACTTTCCATTAAGACAATATAGACACACGTCCTCTTCCTGGCAGATTCGTAACATCTCTAGTTGATTGGAACTTCTTAATTATTGCCCTGATGGTCAAATTGGGGATTTTCAATTCTTTAGCTATTTTCTTACAGCCACTTTCTATTTTGTGGTGCTCAACAATCTTTTGATGCACATCAGAACTATATTCTTTGGTTTTACTCATTGTGATGGATGATTAAGGGAATATGGCCTTTGTGTTTCCTCAAAGTTAAACTCATGTGAAACAAGAATTCATAGCTAGACAATTTCATGTTCCTAGTCACCCTGGTGTGCTAAAAAAAATGTAAATATTAATGGGAATATACTTCAGAGATAGCCTGGATGCCAGCCGAACTTAGCCCCGCCCACAACATTTGACATAATAAAACATTCTAAGGGTGCCAATAATTGTAAAAAAAAAAAAAAAAATTACTTCAATGACAGGTTAGATTTTTGGATTTTTTTTTAATGAAAGATCAAAAGGATAATTTATTTTTTAAAGGATTTAAAAAAAGGATTTATTTTTTACCGCCATTTTTTATCATATTTACCAGAGGTGCCATTAATTCTGACCACAACTGTATATTGTGTATGTATGCATTTATGTATTTATGTGTATATATACACACTGGAAAAAAAAAACTATAAGTAAAATCTACTTAACTTAAAAATAAGTGATTTTAACTTGGCCAGAGTAATTTCTACTTAGTTGAAGTTTACTTTGCAATACTCCGTTTCAAGTACATTTTACTCAAACAATAATATAACACTGAATTAAGCCATGATTTTAAAGTGTATACTTTACTTAGAACATATGAGTAAATAATACAGTAGATATTGTGCAGACTATAATAGAAGTAATGTAATACCCACCAAACACAGAGACCTCAATACTTGGTACACAATAACGGTAACATTAATTTAATCATTGTTGAGTATGCATGTGTACTTTTGAGTACAAATTAACTCCAGGTGTCACAAAACAGAAAGTTTCCTAACCTAACAACAAAAGCAGTGATAAAACAGTGTAAATACAACTGTGAAACATTGAAAAATACAACCTTATTAATTATTCATGCACCAGTGCATGAGGGAAACACCAGTTCTGGAAAGTTGAGTAGGTTTTACTTAGTTATATAATGTTGACATATACGCTTTAATTTCTACAAGCTTAAAGGTGGGGTAAGGGATATTTGAAAAATGCTGTTTGGAAGTTAGACCGACACACGAACAAACAACAACAAACATGTGTAGCCAATCAGCATTATGGTGCATATGAGGAGAGAGAACGACCAAGAGGGAGATTTGAAGAAAGACTGCAGTAAAGCTCAGAAGAAATCACTGTAAAATAAAGGGTTATTACTGGGCAAGAGCTTTAGAGACTTTAGAAAGCTATTAGAAATTTGAAATATTAGAAAGGCTCCTCACGTCAGTAACACTGGGTTTGAGTGTCACTGGGTTTGAGTGTCATTGTTTGTCTAAAGCTGTTGGCAACTAACAACGAACTCTTGTTTGTAATTACTATTGTGTACTGTACGTACATTTTTTGTGCTTCCTTGTCATTTGTTCATCATCTGCGCTTTATTTTTCGTGAAGCATTATTTTGTTGCGCTTATGCTATGATACACAGACATCCACTCTTGGATTGCGTGCGTAACGGAGGCCAGCTAGTGAGAGTCGCGCTGACGACAGCTAGATACTGCGGTGTTTAGCGTCATTGTTAGTGCACTCGCCTCGCATGGTGGCGATCAGGGTTCGAAACTGACTCGGAGCAGGGCGGTTAGGATTGGAGGGTGAGTTTTGGAGGCGGAGCAATGAAGAGAGGGATGTGTTTGTTTGGGTTGATTTCAAATATCAACAATGTCCAACAGCGTTTTGTAAAAATCGCTTACCCCATCTTTGAATTGAGTACTAATGTTGCTGTATTTTAGAAATGTTCAGGTTACTGTAATTCTGCTTCTGGTTTTATGGTCATGTATTACCTTTATTGTATTGTATTTGTACATTTTGATTCTGTTTTGTCATATCTTATAAGAGTTATGCTATTAGGTTATATTTTTATATGCTTAATTATTATTATTATTATTATTTCAGTTGACTGTAATTCTGTTTTTGATTTTATGGATATTTATTAGCTTTGCTAATGCTGTGTTGGTTTGTGTTTTGTTTCACGGAAGGCTGAGTTTGTGTTCTGCTTACAATTTGCTTTGTCTCTTCTCTGTTTTGTCTATTTTCAGGCTGTCTTTGACTGTGTGGTGAACTCTCTGAAGAATGTGTTGAACATCCTCATTGTCTACATGCTGTTCATGTTCATCTTTGCTGTGGTGGCTGTGCAGCTCTTTAAGGGCCGTTTCTTCTACTGTACTGATGAATCCAAGGAGTTTGAGCGAGATTGCAGGTGAGAGAAAACACACACAAACACACTGACGAACAGACACATTGTTGTGTTATTCTAAAAGCATTTTGTTGTTAGGGGCGAGTATCTTGTCTATGAAAGAGATAACGAAGTGCGGGCGCAGAAGCGGGAATGGAAGAAATACGATTTCCACTACGACAACGTGCTCTGGGCCCTTCTCACCCTCTTCACGGTATCTACGGGAGAGGGGTGGCCGCAGTATGTACACATCTCAGTTCCTAACCTAATTTCCAGTGTATGCACCCAAAGTCTGAATCCATTAGTGAAATTGCCTCTGTTTTGTAATGCAAATATTTGCATCACAAATACAATCAGAGTGAATCTGTAAGTTTTACATGGCATATCTAAGGACTCGTTACGATTACCTACAAGATTTCACAGTATCACATTGCAGCAAATTACCCAATGCCTCCTATTTTGCCACTCTCCAGGGTGCTGAAACATTCAGTGGATGCGACCTACGAGAATCAGGGCCCGAGCCCAGGTTACCGGATGGAAATGTCCATCTTTTACGTGGTGTACTTTGTGGTCTTCCCCTTCTTCTTCGTCAACATCTTCGTGGCTCTCATCATCATCACTTTCCAGGAGCAAGGAGACAAAATGATGGAGGACTACAGCCTGGAAAAGAATGAGGTGAAGGACGTATCAGATGGAAGGTTTTAAAAGCTAAAAAATCAGTCTAGCTCATTCTTTATGCATAGCGCTGCTGGCATTGATCTCATTTATACGGAGCATCATATTAGGCAGATTTTCAGCTTGATTAACCTTACCGTATCTGTTCTATTTTCAGAGAGCTTGTATAGACTTCGCCATCAATGCAAGACCGCTCACACGTCACATGCCTCAGAACAAGCAAACGTTCCAGTACCGCATGTGGGAGTTTGTGGTGTCTCCTCCATTTGAATATACCATCATGGCCTTGATTGCCCTCAATACCATTGTCCTTATGATGAAGGTGTGGCAGTTTTTCTCTTTAGTACATATTGCTTTATAATATATTTAGAGCACTGAACCAGACTTCCAATGTATAGTAACACTACATTTTGTAAAACAAATGGCCTGGGATATACCCAGTTACCAAATATGGCAACAGTTTAATACAGATTAAATATGTTGTGTGTGTTTAGTATGATGGAGCATCACTTGCCTATGAAGCTGTGTTAGGCAACCTGAACATAGTGTTCACCTCACTTTTCTCCATGGAGTGTATACTGAAGATCATTGCCTTTGGAGTGCTGGTGAGTATAGTTTTCTAAAAGTGTGTGGGGGGTCCTGGTAAACCCTATGTTATGGGGACCAAATTTCCCCAAAAGGATGGCAATTCCAGAAATTGTTGACCTTGTGCGACATTTTTTTGTTCCCCATGAGGAAAACAGCTTATAAATCATATTAAAGGATTTTTTTTTTTTGAAAATGTAAATATGCAGAAAGTTTTCTGAGAGAGTTGTGTTTAGGGATAGGTTTAAGGTTAGGGGATACAGTTTGTACAGTATTAAAATCATTATGTCTATGAACCCCCATAAAACAAGTCTATGCAATGTCCCCATTTAGAGTAAACGTGTGTGTGTGTGTGTGCGTGTGTGCGTGTGTGCGTGTGTGCGTGTGTGTGTGTGTGTGTGTGTGTGTGTGTGTGTGTGTGTGTGTGTGTGTGTGTGTGTGTGTGTGTGTGTGTGTGTGTGTGTGTGTGTGTGTGTAAAATCGACACTCACTAAGCACCAAATGCATGTAAAAGTATATGTTTACTTTTTTAGAAACAGAAACATAATACACGATTTCAATTTTACATGACTCAAATTGTAAGACACAAGCCTACTAAAAAAATATTTTGCAACTTGCGCATCTTCTAAAAAACTTTTAAAACTTACAATCATAAGTTTATATATATACCGTATATATATATATTCTACCTCTACAGAACTCAATGTATTGGCACACACTGAATATTTCCCACATTAGGCCAACAAAATGAAAATATGATGAACAAAATCACAATGTGCTTCATTTGTGTGAGAAGTGCAATTTGACTTGAGTGGCACAAGGTCCTGTGCTGTTTGTCACAAAAAAGATAGTTTTATTGCCCGTTTTCTCACCTTGCCATTGCCAGGTGTGGCAAAAAATCAATTTTGGCCTATAAAGTTATTTGTGTTTATATACCTGTTTTGTGTGGAAATAGTGCTGAAGAAATGGGGGAGGGGTCTTTAAAAATCATATAGGTCAGAATCAGTAATGTATGAGCAGATTTATGAACAGCATGAGAGAGAGAGAGCAATGACAATGAAGTAGCATTCTGAAGTAGATGAGAAAAGGTTTGGGACATGGAATTACAGGACACAAAGGAAATGGTTGTAGTCAGCAAAAAGTCATGCAAGTAAGAGACGCACATGAAGATAGAGAGCTGGAGGGCACATTGAAGTGATTAGGAGTGGAAAATGGAAAAAGAAAGAGTTTTAGAGCGAAATTAAGATGATGGGTATGACGCGTGTTGGATGGAAAGAGTTGCACACGATCTTTGCACTTGTGCCTCTGTTACCATGCAGCTGGTGTACTGAATGGCTCTAATGCAGTGTTTTCCTGCAGGCACTCACTTGGCAGCTCACAAAAAGGCTGTTATGTTCAGCATCTGGGCCACTAGTCTTCTAGGCATCCACCCTTTTTTGTACACTGTGTGAGGGAGAGGAAAACACAGTGAAGGAATAAGGGCTGAAATGGGGAAGGGAGCTGTTTTATTAGCACCAGAGAGTTCAAATAAATAATTTGCTCCTTTTTCTGTCAGCGGGTCACTGAGTGTATGTGTGTGTGCCAAATGTAATCCTCCTTTAGCCCAACTGACAAACGCATCTGTGTCTTTTTACCACAGAACTACTTCAAAGATGCCTGGAACATCTTCGACTGTGTGACTGTACTTGGCAGCATCACTGATATTTTAGTCACAGAGCTAGGGGTAAGTGTGTAGCAGAAGGGCTGCCATCTGTGCGTGCGTATGTGTGTTTGTTTGTGTATCCTGTCTGTACGTTGGTGTGTATTTCCGTATGTGATTGAGAGACTCTCAGCAGGATCTTCTCTTGCTCACTGAGGTGTAAGGAACTCCTAAAAGTCTTATATAATCGTCCCAGTTGGTGTGTGAGGCAGATCAGTGAGCCAGCGGTGCTCATCGGTGACTTTTCCAGATTCGTCATTTATCCCAGAGTCAGATCAAACTGACCTACCAGTAAAAAAAAACCTTATAGTTAACAATAAACTCAACTATTAACATGTATTTATGATCCAGCAAATGATGATGGCCATCTCTAAAAATGAGTGAAACATAAGATTGTGTTTTTTTCTTGGTTTCGACCATCAATACCTACCAGTTAACTGTTGTACAGACACTTTAAAGACCTCACGAAATCTAAGTTTTGAGACTTTAAAAATCTGTTAACTGTGAGGTTATTTAGTTTGCACCTAAATTTGGCCAAATTAATCTTCACATATACATACAAATCTACACATTCAAAATGTACTGTCTTTCTTTTCTAGGAAAACAGACCAAAGATATTGATGACTCGTCCTGCATTACACAATTTTTTGTCCTATCAAATGCTATCTAGACTGAGAATGTCCCACCCCCAAATGCGACTAGCAAATCATAGTTCATGGCTGTAATGTAACTAAAGTCTGTTGCCTATCATATGGCCCTGTCCCAAATGGCACCCTAAACCCTTTGCGGTCTTCCTACGAGTCCGGATTTTCATAACGTAATGCCTCTTTGACTGTTGGGAAGAAGTCTGCTGCAGAGCTCGCATCAGTGTGGGCTCTGCAAAAGTGTGCATCGGTGCGCATATCAGCTGCAAAGGGGGCGCTCGCAAGCACCCTTCTGACACCTAAAATGACAAATGGGACACCCTACGGTCTCATGGACTTAACGGACACGCACACATGGCAGCCATTTTAAGTCCACAAGACCGAAAGTGCATATGAAGTATGCCATTTGGGACAGGGCCTATTTAATAAAAAAGAGTTGTTAATTTAGTTAGTAATTGTATCATTTATAGTTAAATTTTTTTAATAGCCAATAGGCTTTAGTTTATTTCACAGTCTGACAAAACCATGATTTACTACTTGCTATTGCACAACAATGGCAGGTTGCATTAGGGGGACATTTGGCATTCTAGAGAGCATTTTATTGGACATACATTTCAGTCATCAAGACTTTTATTCCCATCAAAGAAATGTGAATATTTAATTTTACATGGGCTTTTGTTTTAAATTCATGGGGTCTTTTAACAGAAATGTGATGTGAAATAACATGACATGATATTAATAACACAGTGATTCCTTAGTCTAAGGCCCAGTCCTTTATCTGGAGATTTACCTGGAGATTGAACATCACTGGTCAAGCACACCTGCCAGTAACCTTCAGTGAACCATCTGGACCTGGTGTGCTTCGTTAAAGTTGCAATTAAAGTCTGAAGGAAGTCAGATCTCCAGTTATCCGACTGACAAATAATATATGTACTGATAAAAGCTTAACAGCAATTCAAGCTGCATTGAAAGCATATGAAATGTGCATCATCATTTTAGTTATAATCAACCTTTAGTTGGATCAAAAAGTTTGTTGTAAGATATGCATAAATATAATTCATTTCTTGTTTTATCTTTTCTTACATGCTTTCTTTAAACTCTTCTTTATGGCGGCTTTGCCCTCTGATGACTCCATCCAATCAAAATGCACTATGAAACTCATGTGTATATCCATGACCTGACCTGACCAATCACAATGGTTGTTTAATCAACCTCCAAAAATACTGCTATAAACCATGCTTCTGCAACATCTACATGTAGATGGTTTGTAATTTTTTTTTTTTTTTTTTTGAGTAACTAATGCATCTGTTTCCCTGTGGCTGATGGTGATGATGATAAATGATGCATGTGCTCGAGTCATAATGACCTTTCAACCCTGCTTGTCTGATGATATGACAAAACCCCTCTCAGCTGAGGTGTAATTGATCCATAGTACAGTTTGGTAAACATTTGGTGTTTCTCTGCAGGTTTCCTGAATGCATGTTGCGCTCAACTTTTTTGTTGATAGGAAACGCTAGTAATTATTATGTTTCTGACACTGCATCTTCATACAGTCATATAGACATCCAAATACATCAACACACACAGATGTAAAGATACTGAAGGCATCTAAATATGTCAGTTATGAAGGTAGAGATGGAGTTAAATCCACCTTGAGCTCATACTCTATATTTGTTTCCCTGTATTTCTGTGCTGCTTAAAAGACATTGAACAGTCATTTCTTCTCAATTCCTGATGATTTCATGTGCCAAAAATGACAAAGTACAACATTTTACCACATCTGACTGAAATGTGTCCTTTAACCCAGCACGCGTGTCCCTTTTCTTTGCTAGTGCCCGCTGTTGGTCATTGTAAGCTATTAATGTGGTTGGCATGATTCCACGTGAATCTACAGATCAGTGCATTTGGTTGACTGAAGCAAGAAGTTAGGGTCTGTGCACTCCCTTCCCTAATGAGGACTCTTACAATAATTTATTTTATTATTATTATTATATATTTTTGTTTGAGTTGCTGCCTCCTCCCTCTTCTGTCTTTCCCCTTTTCCACCATTGGATATGATGAGCCTGTTCAGTCTTGCCAGTTTGATATTTGTTTTCTGGTTTCTCCTTGTTTGATTTTGCTCCTTCCTTCCTTTTTTAAATTTGTTTACAATTTGTAATCAAATGTTTCAGACTGACGTCATTTCTTTCCTCTCTGTCTGCCTATCTCTATCTCCTCTTTCTCTACATCTGTCTGCTGCTTCCTTTCTCTCTCTGTAGAACAACTTCATAAATCTGAGTTTTCTAAGGCTCTTCAGAGCTGCTCGTCTCATTAAGTTGCTCAGGCAGGGTGAGACCATACGCATCCTGCTCTGGACCTTTGTCCAGTCTTTCAAGGTAAAATTATACACATACAAAGAAGTATGCAAGCACTGTTTTCTGAGACTTTGTAGGGCAGCATACACACAGTGTTATTCTCATCAATGAAATTAATGGAGAAAATGTTGGTTAACATAGGTTGGTTTTGTTTAATTCATCAGAGATAAAGAAGATGTGAAGAAAAATTTTCATTGTTAAGATAAATACACATTTTTAATTACAGAATGCTGTTCAGGAAAATAAAAGTGAGAAAGAAGAGCAAAAGTATAGAAAGAATATTATTCTTTCAAATAATCCAATTATAGTCATTAATTGCCCTGCTTGCGCTGTTGGAACATGGACAACGTGTAAATGAATTCACCTAATCAGATAATTGTACATAAGATTAATCACACAACATAAACTGGATGATTCATTTCAATCTGAACAAAATGGCATGAATGCACTTAAGTAAACTTGAGATTTGTTACGCTTTAATCAGGATGTTAATGCCAAGTGAGCATATTCACAATGGGACTTGCGCAATAAATCACAGAGAATGAATAGCTAAAGAATATTTTTGTCAACTAAAATTTTTGTTTTGAAAAATTAACATTGCATGCATCTCCTGTAGACAAAATGTTAACATTCTGACAATGCAGTGCACATTTCTCCTCAAACTTCCAGTAACAGGTTTTCACACACATTCAAATGTTGATTAATCTTGATTTATATGCTGTGTTTAGGCTCTACCGTATGTGTGCCTACTCATCGCCATGCTGTTCTTCATCTACGCCATCATTGGCATGCAGGTGAGTATGTGAGAGAGTGTGTGGGAGGCTGCACAGTACATACTGAGAATAGGTAAATGGCTATATTTGAAGGTAGTGGGCAATGAGATTTGTGTTTGTGTTTAACAGCTGTTTGGGAACATCAGTATTGAGGAGGAAAGTGAGAGTGCCATTAACCAGCACAACAACTTCAGGACTTTTTTCCAGGCCTTAATGCTGCTCTTCAGGTTTGTGTATGCATCACAGACTGGCTCTGTTAAATGTTGTGTGTGTGTGTTACATACACTTTCTAACCGTAGTTCAACTCTGTGCATTTGTAGGAGTGCTACAGGTGAGGCATGGCATGAAATCATGCTGTCTTGTCTGGGAAAGAAGAAATGTGATCGTTTATCTGGTAACACGGAAGCAGAATGTGGGAGCGAGTTTGCCTACCTCTACTTTGTCTCCTTCATCTTCCTCTGTTCCTTTCTGGTGAGAATGACAGCACTGTTGTTGTTACGACCACCATTGTACTCATAGGCATAATATACTGTGGAACATGTCACCACAGCTGGTTGCAATGTTGGATTTTGTCCCTGCTAATAGCTTGTAGAAGATGAAAGGATCTCCAATTGTTGAGCAGCAGTTTTCATTTCTTTAGTTAGTATTTTATTATAATGAGAAGCAATCTGAAACTGGAATTTATTATTTTGATGTTTTGCTGAGTGGTCACTATGTTTGTCATCAGTGGTGAACAGTGACTCAGACATGTGACATACTTCTCTAGTGCTTTTCCATCTGTTCCAATAAAATAAACAAAACAAAATATTAATATTGGTTATTTTAAACAAATATTTGTTCGTAATTTGTATTATACTGCTAATCCATTGACCTATCAAACTGAGAGGCAGCATGATTTCTGTAGCGAGGGCTAGTTTTATATTTATAAAAAAAAAAAAACTATTCATTCCACTTTTTTTACAACGTGACTCCCATGACTGTATTCTATTATTATTATTGCTTAAAAACAGAAAAATAGTCCTATGTCCATTTGGTGTGTAATATACAGCTCAGCTCATCAGACCTTTGATTTACATGTGTGTAGATGCTCAATCTTTTCGTGGCTGTGATCATGGATAATTTTGAGTACCTGACACGTGACTCCTCTATCCTGGGACCCCATCATCTGGACGAGTATGTGAGGATCTGGGCAGAGTATGATCCAGCTGCTTGGTGAGCCCATGTGCACTTGCATGCAGAAACACAACATTATATACTACTCTTGTATATTTTGTAAATAACATACTAATACTAAGAAAGTACTAATTACTTGTTAACTTGAAGTGAAGTTATAAATTATGGAAGTTATTTTATAAATGTATCTCACTAAACTCAGCAATGCACTCTTGGTCGTTTTGCATACTGTAGATATACAACTAACATTAGTTTGTCAATAACAGGTTTCTTGGTAATTTAATAGATAATCATACAGTCTTTTAAAATACACGCTGTTTAAAATGCAGACTTGACATGCTCTGACTACAACTTTTTTGAATTTCTTTGGCCCCTGAATTTCTGGACAGACCATTTTTAAGAGGCTATTTTAAGAAACATTTTTTGATCTTGTGTGAAAGGCCAGTCTGATTTAAATCTGTCTAACTACATTTTCATGCATGTGAATAAAGCCTCTGTCCTATATAATGCAGAACACATTGGCCCTCTCTTATGTGTTCGACTGGAACGCTTCGTTTTTGACATTGGTATAGAGCCGTGGCTTCTGGCACAGTCTTTAACGTACAGAGTCTGGCTTCATTGTATCCTACCTTGGACCAAACAGAGGGGAGAATACCACAGCACCAGCTGAAAGAAAAGGATCATGGATTTGAGCTTCTCAGCTCTGTTAAAATCCATCAATCCCCCCCAAACCCTCCTACGTGCCCTTCTGTGAGTCCCAGTCCTCCCACTCTGGAATACTGCATACTGCAAGCCAAACTTACTGTGCCAGCCCCCATCCCTTCTTCTGAACACGCTAAGTTTCCCGGTATCTGCATTCCAGTGCCTGTCACCCTAATGTTGTGTGTTAGACAATAATGTAGGCGGGCAACTGAACGTTAATCAGATATTCAGAGAAGAAAAAAGGAAGGAATGGAAGGAAGGAAGGAAGGAAGGAAGGAAAAGAAAAAAAAGGAAAAGTGGAAGGAAGGAAGAGAAACAAGGAAGGAAGGAAAAGAAAAAAAAGGAAAAGTGGAAGGAAGGAAGAGAAACAAATAAATGATGGAGAAGAGAATAGAAGGAAGTAGAAAGAATGGAAGGAGGAGGAAAGAGTGAAATGGATGAAAGAAGGAAAGTAAGAAGAAAGGAAGGAAGGAAAAATTAAGAAGAAAAAGGAGGAGGGGAGGAAAAGAAAAAGGAAGGGAAATAGGAAGGAAGGAGAAGAGAAAGGAAGGAATAAAAACAAAAGGTGAAAGGAAAGGGGGATGAAAATTAGAGGGGAATGAAAAGGGGAGGAGGAAAGGAAAAAAGAGGAAGATGGTAAGAAAAGAAAAACATAGAACAAACTGAAAACTGAAAGGAATGAAACAGGGGGGAAAAAACAAGAAATGAAGTAGAGACGGGTGAGGAACCGTGTGCGAAATGACCAGACGCAGCCTAAAGATTTGACGACACAAACGGGTGACGAGCAAATAAGAAAATGTTTGTGTGATTCTGTGCTTCTTTTTCTGTTCTTGTGCTCTTCTTCCTGCCAATGTCTCTGTTCTGAGTTGTGTTCTCTAACTTCCCTGTATTCTTCTTACAGCGGGCGCATTCATTATAAGGATATGTACAGTTTATTGCGAGTTATCGACCCCCCTCTGGGCTTAGGCAAGAAATGTCCTCATAGGGTGGCCTGCAAGGTTTGACTTCCACTTAAAAACTAATATTACCTGCTAGCATCCAGAATGCAATGAATGTCGCTTACCTCCTCTTCTTTTTCTTTTCAACAATGTTTTTGTACTCTCACCATTTCTACTTGCATTCTACTTGATATGACAATGAGAATGTGCAGGACAATGCCGACACTTACAGGAGCATGAAGTGCACTAGTGTGTATGAAACAAGCACACGAGAAAAACACTAAAGTGAAAGACAAACAAACAAAAAAGAAACTAATCAGCCATCTTTGATTTTTGTTTTGCTTGCTGTTGAGGCACGGCTAGGCCTAGCTGGTACGGTAGCGTGCATTGTTCTGGGTGGAGGGGGACAGAAACTGCATTGACATAAAACTTCACTACAACGCCCTGACAGCAGCGGGACTTTATGCCTGTTCTGAAGCCCCCCTGCTCTTCTATGCAACTTGCTCCATTGCATAGAACGCCGTTTTAACACTCAAATGTTGAGCACCTCCCCCTTCCCCTACCCACAAATAAACCGATCATCAGTTTTACGGCAGCCTAGTTTACCAAACCGCTCCTTTCGTCCAGGCCAATAACCTTCTTTTTGTTCTGTTCTGTTCTCCTCCCTTCCCACTTTCCCGTCTCCTTCCTGATCCCTTCTTTTTTGATTTACTCCTTTTCTTCTTCTCTTTCTCTCTCTCCCATGCACATTTCCTTTGGTTTTTTGTTTTGTTTCGGTTGCCCAGTGGCAGAATCAGTTACAGGGATATGTATGAGATGCTCAGGCACATGTCTCCTCCATTAGGCCTGGGGAAGAAGTGCCCTGCACGGGTTGCCTACAAGGTAGAGGGCCTCCGAGTGGCCAGCGCTGTGTCTGTACTGTTGGTGTTTTCTCTTTTTATTTTCTCTCCTTCTTTTCCTCCTTCGTTGTCTGACGGAGGCCGCTATTGTGATTCTGGTGGCAGGGCCGGGTTCGAGGGTGTTAGGCTCAGACGGGCCGATCCACAGGGAAGCGGGAACGGACAAACCTTCTCAGCACTTTTGCACTGTATAAAGACATAAACTAGCGCACTCTCATGCAGGTTTTAAAGCTTTAAAGAATGAAATGTAAAGGTGTTTTACAGTCTACATCATTATCGATACATTAAAGCTAAATGCATATGCTTTAATGTACAGCAGTGATCAATAAGTGAATTTAAGAACTGAGTATGACAATAAACACAAAAGCTGTGTCCCAAATGACGCAGAATACACTTATGCACATACACTATGTACTCTACCGTCTAGTGTATGAATTTTATAAGGTTATTTTGTCATCCAGCATCATAGTCTGATATCCCCTCCGCTACTTAAGGAAAGCTGTGACAGTTGAGTGCATGTAGTGTCTAACATTCCACACTTCTTTCATTTAAATAAGTGCATCATCTGGGTATTTGAAGTGCACTTTTTCTATTTTCAGTGTGAACACACCACTCACACTATTTAATGTACAAAATGGCATAGAATAGTGCATAAGTACACGAATTGGGACGCAGCTAAACACATACACATGCATACTGTATATTCACATCATCATGCGCACACACACACACACACACACATGCTCAAATACACACCCAAATGTACGTGTGCAGCAGTGGTTGGAAGGCCTGAAGGGCTTTAGTCCTCCGAGTCCCTCAGCTCTGTGGATGCCGCTCTCTTAGGGACCCTTTCCTCTTGGGACCAGCTCTCTGTCTCTCTTTTCGATTACACACAGATAAGCAAACACTCACATACACACAACAACGCACATGTAATCATTGGGTAGCGTTAAGGCACTATGATGGTCTTAGTCATTTTCATACAATGTAATTATTTTGCACACACACAAAAAAATCCTTTTCCCACTGCTCTTTCTTCTGTCAATGCAGTTCTAATCTGTTTCCAGCCCCTCCTCTTTACATTCTGCCAATCATCTGCATGCCCCGCCTCCCAGGCCACTGGCCCCTCCCATAAGATACTCTGTTAGCTTTTTCTCTCTTTCTTCTTCTCTTTCTCTGTCTGTCCGCAAGTGTACACTGACATTTCACCCTTGGTCAGTGAACGATAGCTAAAAAGTGCAGGAAAGGAGATCTGCCCCCTTAGTGAGCCCTCAACCAGACTGGGATCTCCTTTCACTTACTTTTGCTCTGCCCACCCTTCCTTTTTCTCTGCCCCTTTTGAACTCCCATTTCGTTGTCGGGTAAAATATTATGTTCCACAGAGTGTTCAATGATCTCCACCAACATAGACTTGTGGTGGCAGACCAACAATCTCTGTGTATTCAATCAGACTTCACTTTTTGTCTAATGTGGTCTCTGTCGCCACCTAATCTGAGTGGAATGAGGAACAGTGACCAAAACCATTGCATTCACCCTCTTTCTCCGTGTCAAACATTAGGGCCCATAATAGAGAATCGCCTGTAGAGAATGTGACCAGCCTGTGGTAGAGCTTTCTTTTCTTATGTTTCCTGTAGCTTTATCTAGCACTTCATTCTCTTTCGCCCTTGGATTTTCATGTAGTTTTCGAGCTCTCTTTAAATTTGGTGTCACTGTCTCTGTCCTGTCTCTTTCATCACTACCATATCCACCATCCAAACTCCTCCTGTAAAAGCTGTCAGTCCTAAACCAACTTCCTGCTCCGGTACTCCTCTCTGGCAGCCCTCTGCTTTTCTCTTTATCATCTGTAGCATTAAAGTATTACCTTCGCGCAGCAGGTAGCTGAATCCTCACTCTTAGCTCATCCTCTTCACAACAACAACTCACAAAGCCATTCCCTCTTTTGTTCTTGTTTTGTTTTGTTTTTTTACTGGAGAATGCTGCTCTAACCTAAACCAATAGCCTGCACCCATCGTTTTTGCATTGAGAGACCAGAGAATCTGGATCAAGCTCTTGTTTTATCCAGTAGCCCATCTATGATTGAGTCTCAATGACAGCAACCACTACTAAACCTAAATGAATGAGCTGAAATGAACCAACTAGATGATGCTTTCAGTGTTGGCTGCTCTGTTGCTTGTCCTGTGATGCATGAGACTGCATGATGCATGCTGGGAAAGAGGGTGGTGGGGGGTGGAGGGTCAGTGTTTCTTCTGGGATGGAGTGGGACGGGGACACATCGGGTAACATGGGTGATTGCATAGCATAGGGTGTCATGGTATCGGAAGGTTTGAGGTAACATTTAACCCTGTGCAATGCAATTATGACTTTCTGTGTTTGAGTATAATCTTTCCCCAGACCAGTACAGGATGAATTATACATTAAACCACTGACATTTACGTAATGCTGTTTTAATTTATTACTTCATCCTCTGGTCTGAGTTTAATATGTGAACCTCCTCCCGGAAAAGCTCTTTGACTGACAACTAAAAGTGTTCAAAGATGCTGATATGAAAACAAGATATACCATTGCACAGATACAAATTCGATTTGTAGCATATGCAGCCCCAGTTTCATTGACATCTAGATCAGTGGTTTTTGACTGGTCTTGCTTCAGGACCCAAATTTTACATCAAAGGGCAACCCAGATACAAAACAAACAAAACATGTCCTTAAAATCAAACATCAGCTTTGACACATTGATTTAGTATGATTTGTTTTAATCTTACCTTATGTTCATGATTTTTGACAGTGAGGTCGTCACACAATCTGTCAATGTTGGCAATATAGAAATAGAATTCCACCAAATTACAAATGAATTTGCAGAAAAATAAAATACAGTTGGATTCAACAAACTTTGAGGTCAACAATAAAAGAGAGGATAATAATTTCCTCCTCACTTTTAAAAGTTGATAAGTTTTATTTGTATATGTTGTAAGTGTCTGTGACCCAATTTAGGGTCCTGATCAACCAGTTGAGAACCACTGATCTAGACCACAGAATAATACTTTATAATAAAATTGTCCTCTTTTGTCATGATTACCACACTAAGACAGCTCTAAATTAATTATAAACTGAGTGTCAAAGGTCACAGAGCTAACCCTGAAAATCCCCCCTCCTTTCTCCTCCCATTCCCTCTCGCACACCAAAAGCACACCCTACCCGGAGGTTCAAAACACACACATTTCAGTGGTCCTGCTCTTTTAACTGCCCCTGATTGGCTCTCCACAGAGATTGTTGCGGATGGATCTGCCGGTTGCCGATGACAACACAGTTCACTTTAATTCTACCCTTATGGCCTTAATCCGAACTGCTCTGGACATCAAGATCGCCAAGGGTGGGGAAGGTTTGCCACCCCTTTTTTCTTCCTTTCCTAATTCATTCCTCTTTATATCTTTCCTATGTTAAGTAGTTGTAGACTTTTCCTCTGTTTGTGCCTAAATCTGTCTGGTTAATGTATGGTTTATATATTTGCCTATAGTGGTTTAATTACAGTGGGGTTCAAAAGTCTGAGATTCAAATTTAATTTAAACCTGTAGCAAATTAGCTCTATGAAATATTAATAACCAATCATAACTTGATATACAGTAATTGATTATGAAAATTTGGATCAGTTAATCGGATTAACTTGATGTAGCTACATTAACATTACAACCAATGACTCAGTTCATCCCGTGAACCCTCAATATTGGTTATTATTTGATTAATAAAAATTTACATTTCCGGGGGATGGGAAATGTCTTTCTTATTAAGTACTACTAAGAGCAAGTAGTCAAAATCTATATGATTAGTGACTCCAGATATGAGCTTGAGAAACGGACAACTTTACGTGTGATATGAACAAGACTTTATTAACTAGACTAAACATTTAAACTACTCTAACATACACATACATACATGCATACAGTTTATTAAGTGAAAGAGAGCTGAAGCAGAATACAGGAAAGCAAGAAGTTATAGCATTGTTTGATGTTCAGCAGATCAACAGCCTGAGCAAACCATCAGTTTAGTTCTAACACACCCTTCTTAAAAAGGGGTAAGGATACTTAATGTATCAAATAATGAGACTAAGTTTGATACTTGCATGTCTCGCCCATTTGAATTAAACTCTCCTGATGCAATTTGTTGAGGCTCCGGTGATGTTGTCTTGATGAGAGAGGACCAGTGGTAGTCAGAGGATCTTTGGTGAATGGAAAGACAAGGCCGCAGCCTGGCACAAATTTGGGGGTCCTTGGGGGACTTCTAGTTCAGCATCATCTTCACATTAGGACTTCTCAGGAAGGACCAAGAGAGTAAGAGAGAGCTGATCTTGATGATCAGTGATTTTAAAGCGTGAAGATGTCACACCCTCTGGAGGTGTGTGAGCCAATACGAAGTTGTCCCTTTGGAGGGAGTTTTTACGACCCATTGTGTTCTAGCAGGGCATTTGAATGTGTAATTTCATTGGGTGTTTAAGAAAAGAATCTTCAAGATTCTTATAATACTAATGCGTCATAAAGTTAGCAAAATGTAATGCAAATTAACAAATGGGGGACGAAGATTGGAGTTTATAGAGACCAAACATGCCACACATATGATTTTGGTTAACCATAGTATGCAAAGTCTGAAACATTAACCTATTATAGTTTACAAGAAAACATAGGCCAAACAACATAAAGGAAAATCCTGAGATGGGAAAATTAGATGCATGTTAATGCATTTCTCAAGTGGATATATATAGAATATATAGGATTAACAGGGTTAATTTCTACTTTTCAGCAAGAATTAAGTGAGAGTCACAACTCTCTTCCTTTGGGGTCGTAAAACTCATCAGTCTCAATGTGTCCTGTAACAGGACACCGGGTTCTGCCAGTGTGTTAGCTTCATTTGGGATGTTAGTTTTTGGGGGAAGTTTCATAGACCTTTGTTGGGAGAGTCAGTTTGCTGGATTATTCATTAAATATAATGAATAATTTGTGTGTGTCTGATTGGTCCAGATGCTACAAATCTTAAAAATATCTGGTGAAAAAAATCCAAAAAAGAGGCCTCGTAAGAGAATTTAGGAACCCCACTGACTCGTAAAATATAATTTGTAAGATTTTGTGCACAGTACTTTTACATAAGATTGGATACAACTTTGTTCAAACCATAACAAAAATTGTGTGTGTTTGTGGAAATTTGTTTGCATATGTGTGTGTACGTGTTGTGTTGTGTACCTGTTGCTGTGTAAATAGGAGGTGTAGATAAACACCAGATGGATGCTGAACTAAGGAAGGAGATGATGGCGATATGGCCTAATCTCTCTCAGAAGACTCTGGACCTTCTGGTGACGCCACACAAGTGTAAGTTACCCAGGAGGTTGGTGTGTCCACAGCGTTTCTCTTTTACCACCTGAGGACAGCTTCTCTCAGTCAGCCCACTCACTGCTCTGCACCCCCTGATGGTCCAGGCCTGCACCCTTAGTTTAGAGTCATTTTAGGACCTTATAGACAGGGGTGCACACAACTGGTACGCAGGTACGCATGCGCGACATAAATCAGGAATGCGTAATGCCACTTCTGTTACTACGCGCCTTTGCGTAACTGTCGCCAAAATGCAACCTAGGGTCTTTTTGTTAATCTACCCGAGGCAAACTTTCGTTTTAAAGCATAATTAGAATGGAAACGCCACTTTTAAGTTTGACCGTATTTTCGTTTTCGGAGAGCTAGGGGCACGTATATGATAGCAACAAAAATCGCTATTTTTAAAACACTAAGAAGGCTCGACACAACATGAAACTTTGCTCAAAGTATCACCAGGGGACATAACCTCCAGAATTGAGAACATTGTTTGTGTACACAGAGTTTACTAAAAAGAAAGATTTTGAACAACTCACTGTAGCTGTGTCCGCCGGAACAGTAACACCGGCATTTTGTCAGTCAAAAATAGTCGATCTCCGAATGCGAATGAACTGACTCTGAATTTTAGTATTGTTTCTTATGAGGATCCTTTTTCAAATACAAGGTCAATATTGTTTTTCACTTATGACAAAACAACAAATTATCCGTGAATTTTTAATGGAACTAAGCTTTAGGAGCTTTCCATCTTTACTCTCCTCCCTGTTAAGTTGCATTCGGAGATCGACTATTTTTGACTTACAAAATACCGCTGACAGTGAGTTGTTCAAAATCCTCACCATGAAGTCTAATGAACGCGATGGAAACTAAACAATCAAATTACACTTCAAAATAATTATTTCCAAAGATGTTTTCTGTCATTTTAGGTAGTTTTATTCACGCTGATGTAAATTTAAGTGTTCGTTTTTTAAAATAAGTTTGGTCTTTAGTTAGTTATTTGATGCTATAAAACCGGGAATGTGACATCATGATTGACAGCTTCTACACTGAGGAGGACTGCACTTATTAAGACCAGGCTACATATGGGGTGAGTACCAAACACCATCTCCTGGTACTCACCTGAGTAACTCACTGAAAAACTTATGTGCACCCCTGCTTATAGATATAGACCACATACTTTTAGATGGCAGACTGATCACAGAATGAATCGCAGAAAGTATGTAGTACGCAAATCGGATAACGGCGCAAACATATAAATAGATGCAATGAACCAAGGCAATATTTGCATAAATATACCCTTTTTTTTTCTTTTTTTTCTTTTTTTTTGCGAACAGCCAAACTCGTAGCCTTTCAAAGTGTACTCCATGTGATAACGTGCGCAAACACTGACTAGAAAGTTTTGTCCTTATCCAGTGTCTGTACAATTTCTCTACAGAAGTTAACTTATGAGCGATACAAATTATTTTGCACTCATTTAGTTTTGGTTATCTCGATCCATTGAGGAGTAATTATGATCGGTTCAGAAATCGTCGGGCCAGTCAAATTGCCAGGGCGGGCTTTATACGATGATGGACAGATGATCTGCAGTTACGTAATCATCACATTATCAAAGAGCGCTTGGGTTGAACTGGTTTCCCTCAAAGATGACTGCAGATGGAGAATTGAGATGTATAGATTCCGCTATCGCGTCTGTTGTTAAAGAAATCGACAGCGCATTCATTTTAAAAGACGAACAGAGAACTGCAATCAAGGCATTTGTCGATCGGAAAGATGTGTTTGCCGTCTTTCCTACGGGAATCGGCAAAAGTTTAATTTATCAGCCCTCTCCGATGGGCACTAAGAAGACGGGACGCAATGAAAACCCTGTGGTCGTTGTGGTTTCTCCTTTGGTCGCACTCATGGAGGACCAAGTAAAAGAAGCAACACTCATTATTTTACTACTACTTCCAGCGTGCGTGCAGTTGAGTTCTGTTGACAACTATGCGTAGCTCAACATACGTCACTTACTGCGTTGCTCTGATTGTTTGTAGGTCTATCCAATTGAGTGCAGAGTTTTTTGTTTTTTTTCCTGGTTCGGTTAAGACACGCCTCATAATCAAAGCCCTATGGAGCAGTATCAGACTCACATTCTGACTAGAATATGAGTATGACGAAGTCAGGCTACCTTTTACACGTACAACCCGAAATATACTTTAGAGCAGTACCAAAAAAAAACATTGAAAGATGTTTCAAGGACACCTGTTGTATTTCCGTTATCTTTAGCATGTTAAGCTCCTCCACTTCCGCTATGTAGAGAAACTGCAACTTAACACAAAAACATATTGAGTGTATATCCAAGTGCTACAAAAAACAGTAATAACAGCCTTACTTGTACGTTCTAGCTCACTGTGCCTGAGATCAGGGGGTGCCTTACTATAGATGAACCCTCTATAGATGTCTTTTCACTACAGGGGTTATGAGATTCCTGACAAGATGTACATAAAACAGTATTAAAAAAATGTTATTGCACCACTAATATGCAACCAATAAGATGTATGTGCAAGCTTGCCGGTAAGACATGCTAAATGCTTACTATCTTATGAGACTTGCTTAAAACTAGGTAGCCTAATGCTTGCTAGATGCTCCAAAAAAGCATGAAATAATGTGGCGTTGCTGTCACACAATAAAGCTGTTGGCCAAATCATAATACTAGTAATATAAAAGTACGTTTCAGATGAGTTTGCAGCCAGCATGCAATAATTTAGAACGATTTTGTTTGATGCTAATTTTATCTTCATTGTTCTATGCAGATCCTATACAGAGGTGGTGACCATGGCTTTAAACACCACTAAGCATGGCATGTAAACCTAGTCTGAAGTTACTCTTAGTAACTTCTCCATGTGGACTCGGTTCCATAAAGTGGCAAAGACCATTTATTGGGAGACCGTTTTACCTTGTTTACTGTATCTATGAGTTATGCTGTAGTTTGATGTCAGTTCTTGCAATACTTTGACACTTAAAACAGTAGAAACAGTAAGAGTATTTAAAATACTGATCATAAAAATGAAGTGCATAAAAACCCCAGTTTAGCCATTTTAAACAGTCTGCTTGTGAAAAGACCATTGGCTCTGTGTGTGTCGATTTGACACTCTTTGTTTGTGCATGTGAGTTTGTGCATCTGCGTTTGTCGTGTGCATGTCCCGTCCTCACTCCCATCCACCTTGCTCAGGGTCCATCTCACCTTGTCTAATCGTACAGGGTAACTTGTCCATTTCTCAGCAGCTACAGACCTGACAGTGGGAAAAATCTACGCTGCCATGATGATTATGGAGTACTATCGGCAAAGTAAAGCCAAACGGACACAAGCTCTCCACGATGAGCAGGTATGCCATCTTTCTCTCACCCTGCAGTCAAAACCTCAATCCACGATGAGCTGTGACAAGCAGTCCTTAACTATGCTAATTAGTCATTTTCACCAAACTTTTTGGATGTGCCTATATTTAAAAAAAAACATTCTTAGTTCGTACCAATTGAGATCTGCAGCCAAAACTCTCACCTTCAGATGGAGAACCAGTAGCCTGGTTAAAACCAGACCATTCTCAGTTGTAACTGAGTTATGGTCTGGCAAAGCTTCATAGACAATTCATTTCTAAAGGGGCGTCACCAACGGACGTAGCTCAAATGCCTCTGGGCGCAATTGGATAGACCTAAAACCAATCAGAGCGCTGAAGGAGATGACGTATGCAGAGCGACGTTCGTCTGTTATAGAACAACTTAGTTTGAATAAACGAGCAGACACTGATTAGCTACTTGCTCTTCGTTTATTTAAAATTAACAGCAAGACAACTAGAAGTGAATGTGCTTTCCATTAAATATCACACACAGTAAACAAAACCTTAACAAAAAAAACTTTGCAATGAACTTTGCAATTTAGACGTGCAAACTGGGTGCCGGTGCGGTGATGAGACGTACATGCTCGGGCAGATTCGGCTTGAATTCGGTCATCCTCAGACGCGGCGCCGCGCGCGCTGTTACAAAAATATAGCCATGCACACAGCCAAGCGAAATGGGGTCTTGCCGGTCTTACGCACCGAACGCGTCATTTTTGCCGCGCGCACCATCGCTCTCGTGCGGACGCGTCGAGTATAAACAAGGCTTTACTCCCGTGTCAGCGCGCGCTCTGAGCGGTAAAGGGGCAGAGATTTCAGACCTCCGTTTATTAAGGAGATCTCCAAGATTTCTCTTTTTGGGAGGGGAGTGCACAGACCTCTCCCGAATCATCTCCAGCAGTAGCAGCCTCCGAAGCACCACTAACTCCGCCTCCGTTTCCCTCGTAAGCTGATATTAGTATTTAAACATTCTCTATGATAAAAAATCTTTGTGAAAAAAATCTTTTAATAACATGGTTTTGGCGGTTATAGAGTTCTAATTACGGTGTTCAACTATAACCGTCACACCCCTAGTTCCACGGCGGCATCCATATTTGTAAATGTACAAAATCTGCTTCACCGTCGCTGTGCTGTCGTCGTCGTGTAAAGCCTGCCCCAACGTTTCTGATTGGTGCCGCGATTTCGACGGATTAGAAATGGGTTTGATTGAGCTCTTTGCCAGACTAACTTGCAGAGCAAATCTAAATTTGTCGGAAGTTGTCTGGGTTTCCCCAGGCTAGAGAACCAGGGAAAATGTGCTGGATTCTTGCCGCTTGCCACAGTTCATGTGGAATCTGAGAATAAACTGTTCTTCTCTATCAAATTTGACAAAGTACTCACCCTCTCTTTCTAATTTCGTGAATGTGAGTGATAACTTTCTTGATACTTACTTAGTTGTTCAATAGATTTACCTGGTTTCTTTGCTTGGACCTTCATCATGACTATTTTGGTAACACTTCCTTTTACAGTCCTGTTACCCATGTCCATACTATGTACTTATTATAGTAATTACAATTACTGGGTAATAACTAGGTACTAACCCTAAACCTACCCCTAACCCATGTACTTACCTTATATTAGCCAGTACTTTCTAGGTAAGTACACTGTAAGTACACATAAGTACTGTACTGTAAAAGGAAGCGTTACCACTATTTTTATCCAAACTGTTGATCGTGATGTCAGCTCAACATTTTACTGTTACTAAGAACAACCATTTGACATTAAAGCACTACATTAACAAGTGCATCTCTGCTACAAAATAAGATATATATGGAACGAAAGGTGTTTAATTTCTGCACCACTAGTGTCACCAAATGGAACAATGGACAAAAACCTGTAGACCTGCCCCAAACACAATTTAGTAGTCTTTAATCAAAATCATCCCTCCCCTCAAGAAACCTGTCACTCGCATGAGATCACAGCAATTAGCAAATTTCAACAATCCAATCAATTCCACATTGACAAAATCCAGCCCTGCCCCACTTTTTCCCCCTCTCATTTGAGATGCACTTAGATATGTCATATTAGGGGAGAAAAGTCGATCGCAATTTCTGTTTTATGTCGACTTCAAGCTGGGACAAGAAAAGTATTTTTACATTTATAAAATTACACACAATTTAAGCTCTGTGTGGGTTGAAAAATCAGGCCTTCTATACTCGGTTGAATGCACAATGTATTTGTTGTGCATTCAAAGTAAACAGAAGAAACAGAGTAAGATGTGTTATGTCGTCTTTGTCCAGCAGTGCTTCTTAACTGAATTGTGAATTTAGAAACATTTTAGCTGATCTCTTTAATTAGTGAAAACAACTATAAGGACTGAGGGAATTTCATGAAGAAATTGAATCTCACAAATCATCTCCCTTGGAAAACTAGACTTGCAATCGTAATCTACAGTTTTAAATCACATTTGTGACGTGATTTAAATCACATCTGTGCAATTTGTGGCATCTATCCAAGAAGTGAAAAGAAATAGAATAAACCTGGGAATTCTTGTAATAATGACCCTTAAAATGTGTTATAATTTGGAAAGTATTGCATTGCATGATTGCTCTCTTCCACATAAACTTCTAGATTGATAATTCATTGCCAAACTTACTGACTGACATAGATAATTCCTCATTTTAAGAAGTCACTTGCAGTGGGTGGTTTATTATTTCAATATATCTAATGGGTTATTTTGTTTTAGAATAAAATTATATCTTAATTATGTCCATTCATTCTTCCAACTGAATTACAGAATAATGTGTGTCCTTCTATAATTGAATCCCAGCAGTTTAATGACTGTTGATTATTAGCAGTTACCATGATTTTGTTTGCTGAAGGAGTGTACAAAATCATTGTTTATGGTTTTTTTTTATTTTTTAAATTTAGCAGTCAAACACAACACTTTGATTTCCTCATTGGTTTATGTGAAGATGGTTATACATGTGTTTTCATTGATTATGAATATTAGACTGAATATTAAAGTTTAATGCAACATAGGCCTGATCTACAGTTTATACTGTTTTGTTCTTGTGTGATATACAACTCTACATCCACATGAAAATTGACCACAGTTTCATAAACACGGGAATGGCCTGTATACAATCTCGGTGGTAGCCCATGATGTTTCTTGTGGATGTAGCAGTTTTTGCAGATACCATTGAGCTTGCTAAGCTTTTCCTCATACAGCTTATATCCTAACTCATCCATTAGATAGAGTTAAGTAAAATGTGCATGTTGTTCACAGATGATTTAAATTTCTTTTATCAGCTCTCATTCAACTGTTACTTCCTCTCATGAGATTTTAATATGAAACCTGCCTTTTCATTCTACATGCATTTTGTGTTTCTCGCTGGATTGGTTGATTTTTTTTGTTGATTTTTTTCATTTTCCAAATCTCAAGGTGTCATTTTTGGCCGGTGGTACCAATGATTTGCTTTATGGGTCAGATACACATGAGTGTTAAAAGTGCCTTTAAAGATTATGCAACAGTTTTACCACCTCTGGGCATATGTTTTTTTTTGTTTTTTGTTTTTTTAATCAGTAGTCATACAGTATGTTTACTGTTAGTTTTCTTGGCAAATAGCCTATAGGGTTTTGGAGGTGGTATTCAGGGACATTATCTTTCTAGAAAACATTTTATTGGACATAAATCAGTTTTTCACAGGAATAGTTATCAATATTATCTGTACACTTCCATTACAAAAGTTTGAGGTCTGTGGGATTTTTTTTTAAAAGAGCTGCATTGACAAAATATAGTAAAACAGTTTATTATGAAATATTATTACATTTTAGAATAATTTTTTTTTTTTTTTCATATATTTTCAATGAAATTTATTCCAGTGATGGCATTTACTCAGTATCATTACTTCAGTCTTCGGTGTCACATGATCCTCCAGGAATCAGTCTAATATGATGATTTGCTGCTCAACAAACGTTATCTTTAATATATTACATATATGTATAACCTCCAGAGAACGTCATCATCAGAGGTTATTTCAGACAAATTCTAGGTGTGTTTGCTGCACGTGTTCACAACCGGTCAAACAAAGATGTTTTCTGGGAAAGTTCCCTGCAGGTTATTTTGGGGGTTTACTTTATAACCTAAAGAGAACGTTCCCAGAACGTTATGTTATTTGTATAACCTAAACAGAACGTTCCCTGCAGGTTTTTTTTTTATTTTTTTATTTTTATAACCAAAACGTTGTAGATGATACCAATAGGCTACAGAGAATATTCTAATGCTGAAATGTATAATTTATTTATAAACAAACTATATAATGACCGGACACCCTTGGTCTCTCGCGCGCAATGTCGCTCACTCTCAGACACACTCGCTCTTCATATTACATATATATTTTTTCAGGATTATTTTATGAATAGAGAGAATTTATTTGAATTACAAATCTTTTGTAACATTATAAATGTATTTACTGTCCATTTTGACCAATTTAATGTGTCCTTGCTTAATAAAATTTATTATATACACTGAACAAAATTATAAACGCAACACTTTTGTTTTTGCCCCCATTTTTCATTAGCTGAACTCAAAGATCTAAGACTTTTTCTATGTACACAAAAGGCCTATTTCTCTCAAATATTGTTCACAAATCTGTCTAAATCTGTGTTAGTGAGCACTTCTCCTTTGCCGTGATAATCCATCCACCTCACAGGTGTGGCATATCAAGATGCTGATTAGACAGCATGATTATTGCACAGGTGTGCCTTAGGCTGGCAACAATAAAAGGACACTCTAAAATGTGCATTTTTACTGTATTGGGGGGGTCCGAAAAAAAAAGAAAAGAATGTTGGTCAACTCCTCTTCAATGGCTGTGCGAAGTTGCTGGATATTGCCAGGACCTGGAACACACTGTCACATTGGCTATATATGGGGGCAAAAACAAAAGTGTTGCGTTTATAATTTTGTTCAGTGTACATATATATATATATTTTTTTTTTTTTAACTGAGCCTAAACTTTTGAATGGTAGTGTATATCTGCTAAAAGTGAATTCCTGTCTACGTTATATGTACATATATATATATATATATATATATATATATATATACACTTGTATATAAGTTACTTCATAGCTAACAAACAACCCAATCTTGATATTATGGGGTCTTCTGAATGACACCAAGATTTATCACCACTGTTTAGCAGCCAGTTGGTTGCAGACACTTTTCATTTACTGGGACAATGAAAGTAAATTATTTTCTCAGCATGGTACCATCGACATCTTTCAGGCAGTACAACTCACAGGATAAATCCATTTACCCATTATGCTCCTGGAATGCCTCCTGACTTGACCGCTGCTGGATCCCCTCCCCATTCGCACATGGGATGCTTTGCATCCCATGTTTTTCCCCAACCCCATTTTCCCATCAGCTTGCCTGATACCAGCTGTAGGCCATGTTGTATCTTACACAGAATCGAACGCCATTAATGTTTCAGCGTGTGGAGCCGCCGTCTCCAAGCCAGGATGTGGGGCAGGGACTCACTGGCCTTCCTGAAACTCAACCGCACCCAGCAAATCATCTGTGAGTAGCACCCTCTCCATTTCCTTCCCAGTCTCTCTCCCCTAGTATTACAGTTTATAGTGTCAATTTCAGTGTTAACAAATTACTGACATAAATATTAACAAAGGGTTTTTCTTTTATTATTTTGTCAATGATGACGAAGCAGAGACAAAAAAGAATTACATAAATGTGTACATCATGACAATAATTAAATTACTTTAATTATTAAAGGAGGGAGGGAGGGAGGGAGGGAGGGGGGGGGGGGGGGATTATAGCAAAGTTATCAACCATTTTTGAAGGGGAAAAATCCAGAAAGAATATAAGTGAAAGAGTTTCAATGAACCTAATCCCAGTCAGTAATGACAAATATTCATTCTAGTTTGAGTAAAATGTATTTAAATTAATAAATATGTCATGATGACATATTGAATTCAAACGTTCTTTTCACCAAAAGATAAAAACTATGATTAAAACAAACTGTTAAAAAAAAACTTATGCTGGCCACTTTTCATTCTCTTCTTTTTTATAATCCATGACCAATAAAACAAAAACAACAAATGTTAATGAAGATCATCTTCCCTCTCCTTGACTCTAATGAACATCTAATGAGAAAAAAATCATCTAAACCACAATAAGTATCAAACCAGAGCCTTGAGGCCTTCCAGAAGTGTAGAGAGCTTGTAAACTGACTAAATTTGGGTGTGTTGTCAGGCCTGTTGATGAAAGGATACCGGAGAGCCAATCATGGGTGACGGCGAGAGCTCAAGAGATGTCTCAGAAAGCAGGCAGCTGGAGTCCTGAAGGCCAACACCCAGAAGACACAGCAGATAACCACAGACAATCTCAGGTACACAGAGCCTGCCCCATCTCATTTACAATTTACTATTAGGGTATTCATATAAATGCTTGAAATTATGATAAAAAAAATTGTTTAGGTTAGTGCATCACTGCATTCTTAACCTCAAGCATTACCAGATTAATATGGTGGTACAATAAATACAAGTAAAATTATCCCCACACACTAATGAAATAGTGGCTCTCAAATTTAGAAAACTTTTGTTTTATCTCATACAGTAGTTATGGATTCTACAGCAGCATGCTAACTCACTCACAGCATGATAATTATTTGTTAGAGCTCAGGACGTTCATGTAGTGTCACTCCATTGGACATCTCAGTGGATCGATAATATATTCTCTGTCTTTATAAGATAGCATATCAGATATTTAGTCTTTTGTGGAGGGTATTTATTTGAGTGTTTTTTTTTTCATAACCATGAATGGCTGGTCTGTCTATCCCTCATTCATGTGCATCTCATTGGCAGAGAGCAACTGTAAAAAAGGACTTGCTATTTATGTTCGGGGTAACAGGGATCAGCCAATCAGCGCCTTTTGTTTTGGCATCACAGAGAGGACACCTGTTTGCGCTGACTGATAAGTTTAGTTTTTGAGTTAGTAGTGAGAGTGGCCCGGAAGCATATCGTAGATATTTCTGAAGTGCATAGTTGTCGTCGCTATCTGTGCATGTGTGCGTTCAGAGACATAAACACATATACTGTACACTCACGAAGACAGAAGACAATCATCTGCTGGCTGCTAATAAATCCAGTGAAGAGCATTAGAGCATTCGATTGCATTCTTACCGATGCACCACAATGGTCACTTATTCGCAACTAGCTACAGTTACAGTCCTAGCTATCAATTCTACATTACAAATTGGTCCTTCGAGCCGGATAGTGTGACTGCTGTGCGTGAGGATGTTCCCATATGGTAGAGGTGAGGCAACGCCACTTCCTGATACTCGCCCGAGACGTCAGACACGTCCGCCAACCTGGCTTGCTGACTATGATGTCTCCCTGCCTGTTGTGGAGAGGCAGGGAGACATCACTCCCCCCCCGTCCCCCACCCCACCAGGCTGCAGCCCTCTCCCCACAGCCCCTCCTATCAGATGCAGGAGCCCTATTACAGTTGTGAGAGGATCGACCAGATGTTAACGAGCACCTCCCAGCTCTTTGATCAGTGGAACCAGACTGGTGCTCGCTCTAAGTATCCCAGAGAGTCAGTGTTCTCGGGACCCCATTATCAGAGCACCCCAGACCCACTGTCTCACAGAGTAAACCCAGGGGCTTCACCTGAAATATTAGATGAGCTGCAAAAGATCAGGGAGGATAACCAGAGGCTTCATCTCAACGTAATGGAGATGCAAACACAGCTTAATTCAAGCAGAGGCCCAGATCCATCACACCACACTGCCCTCTCCCCCGCAGAGTACAGCCCGCACGCTCAGCCAGCAGTGCTCGCTGCGGCCACTAGCCCATCAAGACCCACACCACAGGTTGCTAGGCTAAAGACCTCCCTGGAAAATCTCCTCCCCAAGGATGTTACGGAGAGGTTTAAATATCAGATTTTAGTTGACCATCTCAAATTTGAAGAAGCACTCCTCATTGCAGACTCATACACCAACTCTACCCAACCGTACACCGACACCACGGCCTCCTTAACAGAGCACTATGGGAAACCTCACCAGCTAGCATTAAGGTGCATTGCAGACCTGATGGAGGCGCCTAACATCCGTAGCCAGGACATCGCTGCCTTCTTTAAAGGATTTGCCCTCAGAGTGAGAGCCCTGGTTGCATGCTCGACCAGCTTGGAGAGAAAGGCCATATTGAGCTTCAGTGTGGGTCTCGTGTCACTAGGCTTGTCCAAGCTCCCACAAGACATGCGGTCTGGGTTTATGAGACACATACATCCCCTCTGCATTCGTGTCCCTACGCTGTTAGACTTCGCCAGCTGGCTGGAGTTTGAGCTGCAGATTCAGGAGTATGGATATGAGTCTCGACCCAGAGAGAATCCAGACGGTAAAAGGGAGAGACGGAAGGACTCAAAGTATGGCCAGCCAACCACAGTCCTCCATGGAGCTGAACAGTCTTCAAGTGGCCCGACTGTCCCAGTATTCCCATCCACCAGTGCCAATCCACAAGGCAAAGTCGCCCTGCCCTGCCCATACTGTACCGATCCCCTGCATTAACTGAACCAGTGCACTAAATTCAGCCAGCTAACAACTGAGCAGCGGAGAGATTGGGTCAAGAGAAACAGGCGGTGCTGGCGTTTTGGTCGCTGTCACCAGGCCGTACAGTGCAAACTAAAGGCCAGGTGCAAGAATTGTGATGGCAGACATCTGGAAGCTCTCTACGACCTTAACATTAGACCAGCCATGGTGACACCAGCCACAGAGAACACATCCTGCTTAGTGAGTACTGCCAATAAAGTTCTCTACCTGGATAGGCTGTCCGGCTGCAGTCAGGTGCTCCTGAAGGTGACAAAGATTGTGCTCATAATGGAGAACAGGCCATGGAGACCTACGCGATACTGGATGACAGGTCAGAGCGGACTATGTTACTTCCAGTTGCTTTTAAGGAGCTTAAACTTAAAGGGGAGCCAGAGAACCTTGCTTTAAGGACTGTGCGCCAGGATCTTAGAGTTCAACATGGTATGTCTGTCTCCTTCTCCATTTCCCCTGCCAGGCACCCCCAAAAGACTTACAAGATCCGGAGAGCCTTTACTGCCGATCAGCTGGGGCTGGCAGAGCACTCACAACCGGTGAAGACACTCCAGCGTAAATATATCCACCTGAGAGGACTCCCCTTGCAAACACTGGAATGTGTTCATCCCATGGTCCTCATTGGGTCAGACTACACGCACCTGATCACCACAGTGGAGCCGGTTCGTATGGGTCCGCCTAGAGGACCAGCTGCTGTAAAGACCAAGTTGGGCTGGACTATTCAGGGCCCAACCAAAATCAAACTCACCCTCTGCAGAGCTCCTTTATCATGTGGAGAAGCTATGGCAAATGGACGTATTGCCTTACAGGAGTGAGAAGATGGTGATCCGCTCAAAGCTAGATCAAGAGGCAGTTCGCATGCTGGAAACCAGGACAGGTGGAAGTCGACGGAGTCCATCGCTACGCCACCCCCTTGCTTCGTGTAAAGAACATGCCCTGTCTCCACGCCACCAAAGATGCTGTACTGGCGTGTCTGCGGAGCACCGAAAGACGTCTGATGAAAGACCCAACACGAGCATCAGCCTATGCAGCAGAGAACCTGAAATTGGAACAGGCGGGGTACGTGAAGAAGGTAGCAGAGGAAGAGCTGGGTACGTCAACAGAGTCCTGGTTTATACCTCACCACATGGTGAGTCATAATGGAAAAAACAGACTCGTATTCAACTGCTCCTTCGCATACAAGGGCTACAACCTAAATGAGCTTCTACTACCAGGCCTCACATTAACCTCCAGCCTGCTAGGTGTCCAGCTGAGATTCAGGGAGCATTCTGTTGCTATAAGCAGCGATATCAAAGGCATGTTCCACCAGATCAGGTTGCTGCCAGAAGACAGATCCCTGCTTCGTTTCGTGTGGAGGGACCTAAACAAAGAGGCACCACCCGGCACATATGAGTGGCAGGTCCTCCCCTTCGGGAAAATATGCAGCCCTTGCTGTGCAACGTTTGCACTACAGAGGCATGTGACAGACCACAGCCAGCTAGAGGAGAACGTCCGGGTGGCCGTCGAGCGTTATTTTTATGTGGATAACCACTTACAGAGCCTCTCCTCCCCTACAGCAGCCAGACAGCTGGTTGACAAATTGAAGACGTTGTTTGCCTCAGGGGGGTTTGAGCTGTGTCAGTGAACTAGTAACATCCCCGAAGTTATCAATCACCTTCCTAAAGGGGCAAGATCCCAGAGCAGCGAGTTATGGCTCACAGAGTCAATGGAGGATCCACAGGAGCTCTATATTCTGTGATGTGTCCGAATCCTCTGTACGAAGGCACGCAACTGAACCGTAAGCTTTCTCAGACACATCACAGAATATAGAGCTCCTGTGGATCCTCCATTGACTCTGTGGAGAAGCCGCAAAATGTGGCCTTGTGAAGCTCTGTGGCATCCAACTGCTCAGCCGCAAAAATGCTGGGCCATGGTTCCACCGGCTCTCCCCTGCCAGCTCCATTAGGGTCTTCCCACGCGTAATGTCATCTGAGGGATTATTTGCAGAATCCACGTACCTCCATGCTTGGGCCTCAGTCAGCTCCTGGATCTCAGCGACTCTGGTGCCCACAAACACCTTAAACCTGCAAGAGTCTGACTGAAGCCACGTGAGAACTGTGGTGGAGTCTGTCCAGAGCACCACTTCATGAAGTACCAGGGTGAGTTCACGCTGCAACAGCACTGATAGCTGAGCTCCAGTCACCGCTGCACATAGCTCTAATCGCAGTATTGACTGCACGGTCGAGAGTGGCCCCCAAGCGCCAGCAGTCAATACTGCGATTAGAGCTATGTGCAGCAGTGACTGGAGCTCAGCTATCAGTGCTGTTGCAGCGTGAACTCACCCTGGTACTTCATGAAGTGGCAGAAAGAAGTGGCCTCACTACAATCTGGTGCTGTCGCCATGATCGTTGACCCACAGCTCCCGAGGGCGCTTTAGCCTATTGGCCACATCACAAAGGTTATCCCAGGTGCAGATGGGAGGATAAGGACAGCGGAGATCCGGGTGAACGACAGGAACTACACCTGGCCAGTTGCCCGTCTTGTCCCACTTCCTGCCATACATGAGACAGCACCTGAGACCACCAGTCCTTCTATGGGACAGCAAATTTGAATGTGCAAATTTGGGGGCAGCTGTAAAGAAGGACTTGCTATTTATGTTCGGGGTAACAGGGATCAGCCAATCAGGGCCTTTTGTTTTGGGGTCACAGAGAGGACACCTGTTTGCGCCGACTGATAAGTTTAGTTTTTGAGTTAGTAGTGAGAGTGGCCCGGAAGCATATCGTAGATATTTCTGAAGTACATAGTTGTCGTCTGTGTCGCTATCTGTGCATGTGTGTGTTCAGAGACATAAACACATATACTGTACACTCACGAAGACAGAAGACAGTCATCTGCTGGCTGCCAATAAATCCATTGAAGAGCATTAGAGCATTCGATTGCATTCTTACCGATGCACCACAGTGGTCACTTATTCCCAACTAGCTACAGTTACAGTCCTAGCTATCAAGTCTTCATTACAGCAACAAAGCACCTTATCTGTTGCTGAGTAAAAACTGAATTCAGCAGACTATCTTACACACTTTCTTATTCTCTTTTATATTTCCCCTCAGTCTGTGTGTCCATCTGTTATCGTTTATTTTCTTTTATTACTCTCACATGTCTGCTTTGTACAGTGAAGCTCATGTCATGGAATATATGCATTAATATTCGGCTGTCTGGGAAGGATGTTTAAGCCCTTCCGCAGTTCTGAGTGCCATTGTACTGTCAGGAGTTGAGACACTCCTGCCCAGCTAAACTATTTATTAAATTCGTGACTGGAACAGCAGGTGTTTTTATCCTAATCTTATCAATGGGGAAGGCAACATACGTGATTCATAAGAAGGAAGTAACAGAAGCTACAGAAAAAAGTCCCCAAATTGCTTGGAAAAACACAAGATCTTCTGAACAGATGAAAGTGAGAAACAGTGAGAGAATATAGTTCAGTGAGAATATATATATATATATATATATATATATATATATATAGCAAAACGTTAAATATATAGTTCACCTAAACATGAAAACCGAACAATTAAAAATACCCTAATTTAATCACCCTCATATTGATCGAAACCCATATGACTCTGTTTTCTATGGAACATAAAGTGTGAGTTTTTGAAGAATATCTTGAGCGTGATGACTGAATGAGGACATTCAATCCCCAATCCTCAAAATGACAAAAAAGAGGATTCACACATGGTCCATAAAACTAGTGCACTGTAATCTTCTGAAGCCATATGGTAGTTTAGTGACAGATTTTTTTCAGTAAATAGAGACTTAAATTTCAATGTTCATGAGAGAAGCAGCAATGTCTGATTTGTATTTTAATCGTTTGAGTCAGTTCTTGTAAATGAATGTAAATAAGTTCTGTTCCCTCAGTGAAGAAAGAGAAAAATCGGTAAATAACAATATATTTTAAAAGATATTTTTCAGATAATTTTGAATTATAGTGCACACATCATATGGATCATTCCTATGATAGTTTTATGGCTTTTTTTTCCCCTTTTGAAACTTGAAAACTTCAGTCCCCATTTATTGTAATTGCATTGAAAGGAGCCACTGCAAATTCTCCAAAATCATTCTTTTGTGTTCCACAGAAGAATTAAATTTATATAGTTTGGAGCAACAATTTGAGCAAAATTATGACTAACCCTTTAACAAAAGTGCATATGTATATGTGAGTCAACAAAAGGGATGTGTGTCCATATATTTGAAGTTGACCCCCTATATCCTGTTTTAAAATTGTTTGTGAGAGAGATAGAGCGTTGTTTGTAATACCAACATCTCCTGATCTTCTCCGGATAATCTTGTCATTGAATCCCTGCATATACTTAACCGGATAACAGCATCAGATCACTTTATGGAAACCCAACAGCAGTGGCGTGTAGAACAGAGGCTGGGGCAGGACTGTCCTGCTACTCTTGCATCTCCCCACAGGGTGAAGGGAGAGATGAAGGTGGAGATGTCCTTCCATCCATTGTGCTTAGGCCTGTCTCTCAGGCTCCTGGCATTCCGCTCTTGCCTGCTGTCACTGGGCAGTCATGCATGGTCTCCCTCTGTTTCTGCAGACAGTAGAGATGAGAGAGATGGGGCGGGACGGTTACTCGGACACTGAGCACTATCTGCCGATGGAAGGCCATGGCAGGGCTGCTTCCATGCCTCGACTCCCAGCAGACAACCAAGTGAGCGCCTCATCCTGTCATTTCTTTGTGTCCCCCCCCCCCCCCCCCCCCCTCCCTTCCTTTTCTTCTACCCCATTTTCACATCTGTCTTTCCTTTCCTGGCCCTCCAAACAACCCACTTTCCATTGCTGCCTTTGCATTAAACAAATGTGTCCATTGACCAGATAAAGCAAAGAGAACCCATTATAGCATCTGCAATGGATTGATAGCAAGTATGAGGGTGAATTAGACAAACAAGTGAATTATGTTAAGTCACTAATTCCTAAATGTCTAAAAGATGCATCAAATTAAGTATACAGCCATGCAGTCTCTTGAGTGGAAGACTGGAAGTTGGTATAGCAGCCAGTGGTGAGCAGTGACATTTTTTAAACCGGGTATGCTGGGTAGCGCGTTTTGTCAAAAATGCACCTGGTGCAGAAACTTTGGATGGGCTTATAATAAGCGAGACGCTCGCGTTCACTCTAGACAGTGTTAGCTGCTCAGTTGCTTTCTCTCATGACACATTGCAACACAGCTAAAATATTCCATATATGTTTGACCTGTTATTGAAAGTAACCTACATTTACCTGTTAATGCCTTCATATGCACCTGTAAAAGCTGTTGAGTTGTGTTTGAGTTGAGTCAGGTGCGACTTGCGAAAAGGCCGTTTGCAAAATATGCTTTTGTAATTCCGCTTGGTGGCACTAATGTCGAGCGGTAAACCAATGAGAATGCGGGTCAATGATGACGATACATAACAACAGAGCGTAGGCGCCAAAGATGTTCTAGATCCGCTTACCCGAAACTCTTCGTAACTGGCAGGTTTGAAGTTTGAATTTCCGTTGTTCGTCAAATAAATAAATGACAGAGAGTTACATACGTATTGCCAACATTTCATCATGTAAGCTTTATGGTACACCTCAAAAAAGGAAATTTATAGTAATTTATAATGTTAATGTTAAGTAGCAAGTCCACAAATGGCTTGGGTATGCAAAGCATTCGCAGCTTTTATGGACCATACATCCCTGATAGCAGCATATATTACATTTCCATTAGAGACATATGTTTAGCTGTCCAAATACTTTGTGTCATGTTGTGTATCAATCTTCATAACAGATAAAATTCTAAAGAAAAAAATTGCCTTTTAATGCTGTGAATTAATAGGAAATCATGTTGGGCTCAGAACAGATCCATGATCTTCATCCGCATACCTGTCATAAATATGCATTTTAAGTATTTGTAATTATCAGAATATGCGGTTGATGTGATGTAATCAAGGATACATCTTTTTTTTTTTTGCATTCAAACACTCTCTTATTATAATTGTCTAGATATATGATATCTAGCATATTACAACATGCACCCTCATTTCTTATGATGCATATTTGATGCAGGTCTAGAACAGGTAGAATTTGTTTGTATGTGTTTTTCTTTTCTTTACTTTTTTACTTATCATATTTCTCACCATTGGCATTTGAGTAGCCGCCCCCTCGTTCATACAGACCCAAATATACATATATGTCCTTGCCACAAAAAAAAGCAGTTTTATACAAAAAGCAGTGTCACACAAATAGGACATCTGAATGCTCTGTGTTCATAAAACACAATACCCAGATGACATACGGCATTCTCTGGGATTTTGTAGCAAGTGCACACTTTGCTATCCCATGTTGCTGTGGGAACTGATAAGCTGAGAGATTAGAAAAGTAGTTTTTTTCCTGAATTAATCAACTTCTTATGCTATCTCATTGAGTTTTCTGTGAATATGTCTTTTCTCTCTTTCTCGTTTTCTTTACTCTTTAAATTCTTATTTTCCTTTTTGGGTTTAGCTAACTCTGACTTCCTCCCTCAGTAAAGAAGTTACTGCAATATTACTTTATATAAGTGCTAAAGTGTTTATATACACTCACCAGCCACTTTATTAGGTACACCTGTCCAACTGCTCGTTAACACTTAATTTCTAAGCAGCCAATCACATGGCGGCAACTCAGTGCATTTAGGCATGTAGACATGGTCAAGACAATCTCCTGTAGTTCAAACCGAGCATCAGTATGGGGAAGAAAGTTGATTTGAGTGACTTTGAACGTGGCATGATTGTTGGTGCCAGAAGGGCTGGTCTGAGTATTTCAGAAACTGCTAATCTACTGGGATTTTCACGCACAACCATCTCTAGGAAATGCCTTGTTGATGCCAGAGGTCAGAGGAGAATAGCCAGACTGGTTCGAGCTGATAGAAGGGCAACAGTGACTGAAATAACCACTCGTTACAACCGAGGTATGCAGCAAAGCATTTGTGAAGCCACAACACGCACAACCTTGAGGCGGATGGGCTACAACAGCAGAAGACTCCACCGGGTACCACTCATCTCCACTACAAATAGGAAAAAGAGGCTACAATTTGCAAGAGCTCACCAAAATTGAACAGTTGAAGACTGGAAAAATGTTGCCTGGTCTGATGAGTCTCGATTTCTGTTGAGACATTCAGATGTTAGAGTCAGAATTTGGCGTAAACAGAATGAGAACATGGAACCATCATGCCTTGTTACCACTGTGCAGGCTGGTGGTGGTGGTGTAATGGTGTGGGGGATGTTTTCCTGGCACACTTTAGGCCCCTTAGTGCCAATTGGGCATCGTTTAAATGCCACGGCCTACCTGAGCATTGTTTCTGACCATGTCCATCCCTTTATGGCCACCATGTACCCATCCTCTGATGGCTACTTCCACCATGTCACAAAGCTCTAATCATTTCAAATTGGTTTCTTGAACATGACAATGAGTTCACTGTACTAAAATGGCCTCCACAGTCACCAGATCTCAACCCAATAGAGCATCTTTGGGATGTGGTGGAACGGGAGATTCGCATCATGGATGTGCAGCCGACAAATCTGCGGCAACTGTGTGATGCCATCATGTCAATATGGACCAAACTCCCTGAGGAATGCTTCCAGCACCTTGTTGAATCTATGCCACGAAGAATTGAGGCAGTTCTGAAGGCAAAAGGGGGTCCAACCCGTTACTAGCATGGGGTACCTAATAAAGTGGCCGGTGAGTGTATATATATATATATATATATATATATATATATATATATTTTGTTTTACCCAAGTTTGAACTGCATTTCATTCAGGGTCATAAAGCTCAGTGGAATTTGATGCTGAAGCAAACAGTGACTTGGGAGTTGGTACTGAGATGTGGATTTGTGTGAGCATGTGTATGTGTGTGTGTTTATATCTCCCAAGTTTATGTATGTACACTGCCGTTCAAAAGGTAGGGGTCACTATAGATTTTTAAAGAAATTAATTATTGGATTCAGCAAGGATGGATTATATTGATCAAAAGTGACAGTAAAGATATTTATAATGTTAAACCACAAAAAATATTTAGCAGCACAACTGTCAATCATCATAGACTGATTTCTGAAGGATCATGTGACACTGAAGACTGGAGTAATGATGTTGAAAATTCAGATTCACAGGAATTAATGACATTTTACAATATATTCAAAAAGAAAACCGTTCTTTTAAATTGTAATAATATTTCACAATATTACTGTTTTGCTGTAATTTCATTTCAAATAAATGCAGGCTTGGAGCATAAGAGACTTCATAAAAAAAAACAATAAAAAAAAATCTTATCGACCCCAAACTTTTGAACTGTACATTATGAGTAATTTACATACATTTCAGAAACCAAGTACAATGTGGTCTCATGCTATGCGTACTGTATATGTGTGCAGTGTTGTAGTAGAATACCTCTCTATGGCCACTGTGTCTTGTGATGATCACTGTAACGTTCCTCACCGTATCATTCTGTGTGGTGTACTGTGACGTGTCTTTAACACTGCCTCTGGCCCTCAGTTTGTGTGCTGCTGTGGTAAGTGTCTTTTTCCGTCTCCACTGCTTCTGTGTCTAACCAGGTTCTCTGTGTCTTTCTTTTTTCTCTTTATTTATATATCTCTCTCTCTCTCCTTATTCCCTCCCCTCTTTCGCTCTGTTTTTGGCCTCTCCATCCTAATTTACTGCATGAACCCCATCTCCACCTTTTTCTTCTTTTGAGTGCGATCTCTGTTTCTCTCTCCTTCTCTTTCATGCCTGGGGTCACCCACTGTTAATGTGCTTTGTCTTGTGTAAATGTGGCCCTGTGTGCTTCATATGTGTGTATTTGTATGAACATATTTTTGGCGTGTCTTGTGCTTGTATGGAAATGGCTGTATAGCAGCCAAGGAGGAAAGGAAGGCACCGGGGAGATAATCTCACTGTATGTGCAACCTCTCTAGTTCATTATTACTTTTTTCTCCATCATCACTCTGTTTGACCCTGTCTGACTCTAACATCTGTCTTTCTGTCTCTCTGGCCAATTCTCTGGAAATCACATCTGTGCCTGAATATTTCATGAGAAAATACTAGAAAAAACTTCCAATACTGTAACGTTGTTGTTGTTGTTTGACATTTGTGTACTTTTTATTTATTTATTAAAAGACCCATTATTTCAGCCATTGTAGCAAACTTAATTCAAATTGTTTGATGAAATAATAGTCAAAATTAACTGAAAAAAGTAAGGAAATTAAGGAATAATCATACGTATGTAATATTTAACATATGTATTTAAAAGAAAATTATATATATACACAGTTGTAATCAAAATTATTCAACCCACATTGCAAATCAGGTTTATAGGCAAAATGTACAGACTTTCAGCTGTTTGCAATGAACAAATCAAATAAAAGTAATTGAAATAGCTCAACACAACAAAAGTTTCAAGTGGTTTCCACAAATTCAACTGAAAATACAACTTTTGATAACTTCTGCAATCTCAAAATTATTCAACCACTTCATGGCAAGCATCTTTAGTACACCTGTAGAACACCCTTTTGCTGTTATGACCTTCTGCAAACGAGATGTATAACCAGACACCAGCTTCTGGCAAGCGTTTCTGAGGTATCTTAGCCCATTCCTCATCATGAGCAATGGCCTCCAGTTCAGTAATATTCAGTAACCGCCGCCTTCAAATCCCACCAGATATTTTCTATAGGGCACTGCGCTTACCCCTGGGTTACCGTCGTTCTAAACACCGCATTTAACCCCGGGTAAAGGAGCGTTTCACACTTGCAATTTAAATGCGGGGTTAGCACCGCTTTTTACCCGGGGTTATGAAACCCTGCTCTGGAGCAGTGCAAGCACCTCTTTTGCGGTGTTATCTCCGCATTGCAGTGTCGAACGTGTACAGTGCGAAACGATTAGGTGTTAGAATGTTACAACTAGATGCTTAGCAACCAACAACCAATCGCGTGCCTTATATTCATGTGCTTTGGGCAGTCACTAAAAAAACGTGCGATGTATATAAACAGTCGTTTCTGCGCCGGATAGGAAAAATATCAAACGGCAATGGAAAAAGCGACAATTGGAGTGAAGAACCTTTAAAGCTCAAAAAAACCTTGATATTACAGTAAGCAATGTGTAACATCATGCGCAATGCTAGAGCCTTTATGTAAGCAGGTCACGTGCTGTCTTTGTCCAGTCAGTAACATTGACAGCGCAAATATGAAAATAAGGACTTTAACCCAGGGTTTAGGAATGTGCAGTGTGAAACTGCAGCTCATGAATACCCAGGATTAACTGTTAACCCCGGGTATAGTATGAGCAGTGATAAACGTGAATAAAGATAACCCAGGATTCCGTTTACCCAGGGTTTAGAATGATTCAGGGTTAACTATTTCAAGCGTGAAAACCCCTTATGGGGTTCAAGTCAGGCGACTGATGGCCACTGTAGAATCTTCCAGGACTTCTTCTGCGACCAAGCCTTGGTGAAATTTGAAGTGTGCTTGGGATCATTGTCCTGTTGGAAGGTCCAATGACGCCTAAGCTTCAGCTTCCTCACTGACGGCATGACGTTTTCTCCTAGGATTTCCTGATACTTCAATAAATCCATCTTCCCTTCCACACGCTGCAGGTTTCCAGTGCCAGAGAATGCAAAGCAGCCCCAGAGCATCACCGAGCGCCACCATGCTTAACTGTAGAAAAAGTGTTCTTTTCGGCATATGCTTCATTCTTCTTCCTCCAGACGTATCACTGATCCAGGGGGCTGAAAAGGTCCAGTTTTGTTTCATCGCTCCACAGAACAGAATCCCTTCTATAATAATACATTTTATTTGGTGCCTTTCTCGGCACTCAAGGACACCGTACAGGGATACAAAATGCATTTATAAGCAGCAAAAAATAAGGAATAGAACAACGTTAAAAACAACAGAAAGAGGCAGAGCAATTGAGATCAAGTGAAATAGGCAGTTTTAAACAGATGTGTTTTGAGTTGCAATTTGAAATGGGAGAATGTATCCATGTTTCTGAGTTGGGGTGGTAATGAGTTCCAGAGATGGGGAGCAGAGCAGCTACTCCCCATAGGGGTGAGACGGGCGGGGTGAGACGGGCGGGGGGCAGACAGGTGTATGGAGGAAGAGGGTGTGGCTTCTGTGGCTTATTTAAATGATTTTTAGCACTTGTGCTTTTGTGTCAGTAGTGGTGTACGTCTTGGAGTTCTGGCATGGAAACCACATGCGTTTAGTACTCGCCTTACTGTGCAAGCTGAAACCTGAGTACCTGTTGCCACCAAGTCTGGCTGCAGGTCGTTTGCAGTCACTCGAGGGTTTTTCTGAACCTGTCTTCTCAGAAATATGGTTGCAGCTGTTGATAGCTTCCTTTTTCTGCCCTGTCCAGGTAGTGTAACCACTGTTCCTTTAACTTTCTGCAAACTATGCTTCCAACGGTGTCTTTAGGAACATTTAGTAACTTCGCTATCTTTTTGTATCCTGTTCCTTGTTTGTGAAGGGTGATGATATCTTCTGTTAACTTTTTGGAGCATTATTTTGCCATATTTCTAACATGCCAGTTCAGATATTTCATGTTCTATAGCTCAAGCACACCTGGTGCAACTAATGAAACTCTTGATTAGTTGTGTCAAGTGCTTGAGACAAAACCTGTTTTGCAGATTTGTGCTATTGTGAGGGATTCTATTGAGGGGGTTGAATAATTTTGAGATTTATTTTTGCCAATAAACCTGATTTTCAATGGGGGTTGAATAATGAATGTGTATATGTGTATATATATAGCATATATATACCATTATTATTTGTACAGCACAGACATATTTTTAGATTTGTGTGCAGATAAAATCACACAAAACTCCTTGTCTGCCTCCTCCTAATTTATATCTGCTATCATTGTGCTTTGCAACACTCATTATGTGCTGTGCTCATGTGCATGTTACATGCATATGTATCCGCAGTCTTTGTGCGTGAGTCTGCAATTATCTGTGCTATGACTGTGAGCGTGTGACTGTGTTGCTGTGCAGAGACGTGCGTTTTGATTTTCAATGCGTCACTGGGAGAAAAGAGGGACTTTCTAAGGCGTTTTTTATTTTATTTGTTATTTTATTATTTTCAGAAAAGTTGGGATGTGTTATTGAGTAACACATACATCTATACTGGAATATAGTTGTTGAATGCAACACACGATGAAGGAACAACCACTTGTCCTCAGCAAATAAATAATATAAATGAAAACATCAAATATAACCTACAAATATAATGCTACTGTGATGGAAGTGGGTGAGACAAAAATAATACATATTGTTGCTTTCTATAAAATGCAAAACTGTAAGGTAACATTACTCTGCACTGTTTTCAAAAATAGAGATATGAAAATTGACTTGCTGCACTCTCCTAGTCTGTATTTGCTCCAGGTTACACATCAAAATGGGTGTATGATTTCTATCAAATTTCGATTTGTATCAGATTTCTACAAATGAATCAGTAACTGAAAACTCTTGATGGTATGTAATGTTCCATCCACGACTCTAGGTGTCAGTGTTGATGGTGTTTGATAGTGAAGCTGCACCAAAACAGTCAAATTCATGCTTTTTTGAGATGGAAAGGCTCTAATCAGACTAGAGCAAAGGGTCCAGGGCTTGAGCCACAGCAAACCACCCCCCTCTGCACGTCCCTCTTCATGGACCATATATTTGGTGTTGCCCCACACATTCTCTCTAAAGCCTGGACAGCCCCCTCTCTTCGCTCTTTGCTATGTGCATGACTGTGAGTGATGGATAGAGGGGTCTGCTGGAAGAAATGTGCTTCTCTCAAATGTTGTAGTAGAATGTTTTTATAACCAATAAGTATTTTGACTTCATAGATTCAGTCCTGGATGCATGCAAGGCACGACCTTTTGCAGCTATCTTTCGGTTTCTCTCTCTTTTTTTCATATTTTTTCTATCTTTCTCTTCTTCTCGGTCTCTGCATGATGAATGGTGATTTTGTTTATTTGTTCGCTGGTATCGGCTGAGTGTGTTCGTCAGGTCATACACAATAATATCACACCAACTCCCAGACCTGCAGAATTAAACACAAGTTTGAAGTCATCATATTGCCCATTTACACCTGGTATTAAGATATGTTTGGGTAGATCCGATCACAAATGATCTGCACTATCTACAGACGAAAGCAGGGTGCTTCTCTTGTCTTCCAGTAAAAATATCTTAAAATATCCTTAAAACAAGATCAATTTACTTGAGAAGTAAAAGTATGTAAAATAATGACTTGTTGTTTTTGGAGATATATCCATTACCCCAGTCTTCAGTGTCACATGATCCTTCAGAAATCATTCTAATATCCTGAATTGTTGCTCAAGGAAAAAAAAAATTTGTATTATCAATGTTGAAAACAATTGTGCTCCTAAATACTTTGTGGAAACTGAGAGATGTTTTTTTCAGGATTCTTTGATGTATAGAAAGTTCAAAAGAACAGCATTTATTTTAAGTAAAAATCTTTTGATTTATTGTATCCTTGCTAAATAAAAGTGTGTATATATATATATATATATATATATATATATATATATATATATATATTTATTATTATTATTATAATATATATATATATATATATATATATATTTTTTTTTTTTTTTTTTTCTCTTTTTTTTTTCTTACTGACCCCAATCTTTTGAATGATTCTTCAAGTGATGTATATTTTCACAAAATTGGATACGGTTTCCCTTGTTATCAATATATTATATTATCAAAAGTGGCCACAGGAGACTCCTATGTCTCAGCTGACCGCTTGTGTCGGGATCACCCGAGACGGATGTTAATACCAGGTGTAAACAAGGCCGTACATTCGCACGACCATCTGCCTGCCGTTACTAAATACTACAGAAATGAAGCTCCCCTCTCAAATCTTCCAGACCCATCTATTTCCAATAAACAGAAAACTTTCTCTTCCTTCGCTCCCTTTTCTTTTCTCTCCCTACCTCTTTCTCTGTCCTGTGCCGACTCTTTCAGCAGACAATCACCGATAACAGTCCTATGAAGCGCTCCGCTTCATCTCTGGGACACGGGCGTCCAGGCCGCTCAATGCGGGGTGAGGACTACGCCATGGAGAGGGTCATCCCAGAAGAGGGTCACAGACATGGGCATCGCCATCGAGACCGCAGTCACCGCACGTCAGAGCGGTCCCTGAGCCGCTACACTGATGCTGACACAGGTCAGAAACGAAAGCATATATATTTCTGTGTATAAGATAATAGGAGAGCTAATACTAGTAGCTTTTTTCTCTCTCTGGCTGTGGCCTAGCAGGTCTTGGTACTGATCTCAGCACCACCACACAGTCAGGAGACCTGCCATCCAAGGAGAGGGACCGGGGCCGGGCCAAAGACCGCAAGCACCACCATCATCACCATCACCACCACAGTTCTGTAGATAAGGAGCACTACGGACATGAGAGAGAACGAGGGGACTACAGCCACAGACAGTCTAGAGAGGGAGAACGCCGCTGGTCCCGCTCACCGAGTGAGGGCAGAGAGTGCCTGACTCACAGACAGGTGGGCGATTCATTCATAATGAACATGTGCTCTTAATGCATCTTATCACAGTTGAGCATTTCTGCAGCACTGAAGAAAAAATAAAAAAATAAATCTCTTAATCAGTAATTTTGCCTTCACTGTTTTCTGGTAAAATGATCTAAGCATCCTTTTTTTTTTTACATTTACAAAGAAAGAACAAAACTATATATATATATATATATATATATACATACATAAATACATACATACATACATACATACAGCGCATCCGGAAAGTATTCACAGTGCTTCACTTTTTCCACATTTTGTTATGTTACAGCCTTATTCCAAAATGGATTAAATTCATTATTTTCCTCAAAATTCTACAAACAATACCCCGTAATGACAATGTGAAAGAAGTTTGTTTGAAATCTTTGCAAGTTTTTCAAAAATGAAAAACGAAAAATGTACATAAATGTTCATTGCCTTTGCTCAATACTTTGCTGAGACACCTTTGCCACCAATTACAGCCTTAAATCTTTTTGAGTATGATGCTACAATCTTGGCACTCCTATTTTTGGTCAGTTTCTCCCATTCTTATTGGCAGAACCTCTCAAGCTCCATCAGGTTGAATGGTGCACAGCCATTTTCAGATCTCTCCAGAAATGTTCAATCGGGTTCAAGTCTGGGCTCTGGCTGGGCCACTCAAGGACATTCACAGAGTTGTCCCGTAGCCACTCCTTTGTTATCTTGGCTGTGTGCTTAGGGTCGTTGTCCTGTTGGAAGATGATCCGTCGCCCCAGTCTGAGGTCCAGAGCGCTCTGGAGCAGGTTTTCATCAAGGATGTCTCTGTAAATTGCTGCATTCATCTTTCCCTCGATCCTAGTCTCCCAGTCAGTTCATGATGCTGAAAAACATCCCCACAGCATGATGCTGCCACTACCATGCTTCACTGTAGGGATGGTATTGGCCAGGTGATGAGCGGTGCCTGGTTTCCTCTAGACATGACGCTCGCCATTCAGGCCAAAAAGTTCAATCTTTGTTTTTATCAGACCAGAGAATTTTGTTTCTCAGGGTGAGAGTCCTCCGGGTGGGCTGTCATGTGCCTTTTACGGGGAGAGCCGGGGCTTCCGTCTGGCCACTCTACCATACAGGCCTGATTGGTGGAGTGCGGCAGAGATGGTTGTTCTTCTGGAAGGTTCTCCTCTCTCCACAGAGAAATGCTAGAGCTCTCTCAGAGTGACCATCGGGTTCTTGGTCACCTCCCTGACTAAGGCCCTTCTCCCCCGATCGCTCAGTTTGGCCGGGCGGCCAGCTCTAGGAAGAGTCTTGGTGGTTCCAAACTTCTTCCATTTACGGATGATGGAGGCCAGTGTGATCATTGGGACCTTCAATCCTGCAGAAATTGTTCTGTACCCTTTCCCCGATCTATGCCTCAATACAATCCTGTCTCGGATGTCTACAGACAATTCCTTGGACTTCGTGGCTTGGTTTGTGCTCTAATATGCACTGTTAAGACAGGTGTATGCCTTTCCAAATCATGTCCGATCAACTGAATTTACCACAGGTGGACTTCAATCAAGTTGTAGAAACACCTCAAAGGCTGCATTTACACTGCAAGTCTTAATGCACAGAAAAGATCTTTTGATCAGATCCGATTTTTTGGCCCGACTGTTTACACTCACTTTAGACAGGACTGGTATCCGATATCTGTGTACATTAATTCCCGCCCAATATGATTTTCGGTGATCGTTTTACTATCCAAATGGTATAGACCCTGATTTTGAATGGCCGTTATATTAAAATTATTTATATAATTCATGTCGGGTGGTCATGATTATTTTCCAGCATGGACAAGATACTGTCATTTGTTGTGCCAGAGTAAACGAGTTTTGAGTGTCATGGCAAAGGCTGTGAATACTTATTTACATGTGATTTTTTTTTTTTTTTTTTTTTTTTACTTGCAAAGATTTCAAACAAACTTTTTTCACGTTGTCATTACGGGGTATTGTTTGTAGAATTTTGCACAAAATAATGAATTTAATCCATTTGGGAATAAGGCTATAACATAACAAAATGTGGAAAAAGTGAAGCGCTGTGAATACTTTCCGGATGCACTGTATATATATATATATATATATTCTGTTTTACCCAAGTTTGAACTGCATTTCATTCAGGGTCATAAAGCTCAGTGGAATTTGATGCTGAAGCAAACAGTGACTTGGGAGTTGGTACTGAGATGTGGATTTGTGTGAGCTTGTGTATGTGTGTGTGTTTATATCTCCCAAGTTTATGTATGTACACTGCCGTTCAAAAGGTAGGGGTCACTATAGATCTTTAAAGAAATTAATTATTGGATTCAGCAAGGATAGATTATATTGATCAGAAGTGACAGTAAAGATATTTATAATGTTAAACCACAAAAAATATTTAGCAAATATATTTTATAGATGTTTCTTAAACAGTAAATCAGTGTATTATAATGATTTCTGAAGGATCATGTGACACTGAAGACAGGAGTTGTAATGATGCTGAAAATTCACCTTTGCCATCACAGGAATAAAATAGATTTGGGAAGAACAAAAAAAAATATTATTTTATTAATATTAATATTATTTATTTTTCCCCATATCTATTTTAAGAAATCTGTAATTTTAAAATGTAATATTTCACATTTGTTTTTTTGATCAATGAGAAATGAGCATAAGAACTTCTTTCAAAAACATTCAAACAAACTGTTTTGATTTTGTTTTTGTTTTTTACTGGAAAACAAGACAAAAATACTGATTGGGAAAATGATGTAATGATTTTTGCAGAGAAGCCATGTTTCTTGTATTAAAACAGGATGTTTAACTTAAAAGATCCATTTTTTTAGGTCTATTGTTGAGTCATTTTATTTTATGCTGTTTGTTATCTAAATAATATTGTGACAATATCTGATAGTCACGCCCAAAAATGATGTGATCAGTCTAAATTTCAGTTTCTTTTGAATTGACATTAACTAGCCTAGTTTGTCAAGAACAAACCTGAAGTTATTTTCACAGCTGCAACAGAATTCAATTCTTTTTGTTTTTTGTTTGTTTTTTCTTCCTTGTGTCCTCTCTTTTCCCTGTGATATGTTGCTTAATTTTGGTCGTTTATTTTATGGCTGTTTGCATCGGTCGCTTTGCTCTACTGCTTTGCAATGTCTCTCATTCTTGCATTTCTCTCTCTCTCTCTCTCTCTCTCTCTCTCTCTCTCTCTCTCTCTCTCTCTCTCTCTCTCTCTCTCTCTTTTATGACTGCGCTCTTTCCTCTCTTACTGCGGTGTTTGTTTGTTTGTGTGTGTATGTCACCTCCTACTGTCTTTCTTCTTGTTGTGTGGTTAATTTTGTGGTTCTGTTTTATTTGCCTTGTTCCATTTTCATGTAGGGCAGTAGTTCAGTAAGCGGCAGTCCAGTCCCCTCCACCTCCGGGACCAGCACTCCCCGCCGCGGCCGGCGTCAGCTTCCCCAAACCCCTGCCACGCCCCGGCCCCACGTCACCTATTCTCCTGTGGTCCGTAAGCCCATCGGTGGCACCCCCCCTCCCGGCCAGCAGAACCGACTCCCTACTCCGACCTCCCGTCGGTTCAGTCCGCCTGGCCCCGAGCCCCCGCTTCCCCCTCACCACCACCCGTCGCCTCCCCACCACGGCTCTCCCCGCTCCTCCCGTCATGCGCACTGGGGCCCTGGTCTTACGGAGAGTGTGGAGGGCGACGGTTTCTACGACGACCAAGACTACGAGTTCAATCACAACGAGCCCCCATCTTACGAGCAAAGCCCTGTGCAGGGCAACCCTCACCCACATTCCCCCAGGACTTCCCGCCACAGCACCCCCCCTCAGGGCCACCCGCGTCGCATGCCGAACGGCTACCGTTCGTCCTCGCCCTCTCCGCACCACCACGCCCCCACCCACCCAGGAACGCATAAGCCTCCTCATCCCAGAGGGCCCAGGAAGGGCCTCCATGAACCCTACAGTGAGACTGATGAGGATGACTGGTGCTAGCCTCTGGGACGGGGAGGGGCTAGTCCTTCCGCACTTTTCTGGAACGGACTGCCACCACACAGAGCGTAGGCTCACAGTAAAACAATACTCTCACTGGATTGGCAGATCTGTCCGGGGAAACACTTGGCAGTGCGCTGAATGTCCACAGGGGAAATCAAGGCATGATTCGTTTCTTTCTATTTCTTGTTTATTTTCCATTTCCTCTGCTGCCAAGTGTTTCTCTGAAAGCGACGGACCGCTGACAGTGAATATGATGACTAAAGAATATGAAATCCTGTTCCTAGCCTTTTTCTGAAGAATACAAAAAATGTTTTGATAAGGAGGAGGAATGTCTGAACTTTTTTCCCCCAGGACATTTCATGCAGTCCCTCCGGAAATGAGACGCTACAAACTCTCCTTTAGCACTCGTTTAAAAAAAGGTGGATCACTTTTTATTTCACAGAACTTGACTGGAGATTAATTTATTGCAAAAATCAGTCCAGATGCTGGGAAATATCGATGAGTTTTATCATCTATGTTTACTGTTAATAATTATCCCAGTTGAGGGGGAGGCGTTTGCCCGTGCGGGTAAGTTGTGGGTGGGAGATGGAGGTGAACTCACCTGAACTAAAATAGGAAAGCCCACCCTGCACTTCAGCCCCCCGAACGCAAGAAAGAAGAATCACAAACAAACAGACAAAACAGGAGAGAAAAACGAAAAGCTCCTCACTATTTCTTCTTCTTCGGCTTCGTCTTCTGCTTCTCATTGGAAACACTGGAGTTTGAATCTTCTGTTGCACTGCCCAGCTTTGTTTGAACTCCTAAAAAATAAATCCTTTGGAAATCCTGCATGATTGAAAAAAGAAAACAAGTTAAAAAATACACAGAAACTTTGGATAAAAGGGGGGATACATTTTTTTGGCTCCTTTGTCATGTCCGTGACGTTCTTTCTCTCTCCCGTCGACGCCCTCTGTCTCTCTCTCGCTACTCTCTGAGATCCCTCTCTCCTGAAGGATAGGGGAGATGAAGCCATTGCTAATGTTCAAACTACTAGTAAATGGGTGACCTGAGAGATGTTCGCAATTTTGTTGTACCAGATTTGGTGCCAAATACCACATACAATAAAGATTGTGAATCAAAAATAAACAGATAGCACAATTACTTTTTAAGCTTGAGACATTTGATAACATTTTATTTACATTCCTCTATCACTGTATAGATCATTTTCTCACTTGCACAAAAATGCAGATATAGTAGCACATTAAATACACTAACAGGCAAAGGATGAGTAAACATGCTCTTCCAGTCTTCCAGGGTACATGCAGAGAGAGAGAGAGATGGGGGGAGAAGAGAGAGAGAGAGAACCTCTCCATCTTTACATATGATTTCATGTTGATAATGACAATGTGTGTATAAAGATGATCACATAAATAAGTAATGATAAGTGATGATGGTGATGAAGATAATGATGATGCTTTTACTTTCATTTTCTACCTGTTTTTGTATTTGACTGCCGCTCTTTGTATTGCCATACTTGTTTCCATGTGAGTTTTGTGTAGATGGTGTGTGGAGCTCTGTGATAGTGATCCATTATGGGCTATGACAGAAACTCATCTGACCTTCAGCCGACGTCCTCGGTAGCTCGACGACTTGGACTGTTTCTATGGAAACACTTTCTCAGCCATATCAGTGAGCGTTAATGACAGTTTGAAGCATGCATCTGATCTCAAGTCTCTGTAACTGTAAACACTGTTTATCAAGAAGGAAAAAGAAAGTAGAGGAAGAGTTGACTAGTTATCAACCATATTGATATAAACGTGATATAAACGTCTTAGAAGACGTTTTGATATTAAAAAGAGCGTTTAGATGTTAGTTAACAAGAATTAATTAGGTTGGCGTAAAAATCTTATATTTTATAAAAATCTTTACTGTGAAAATCTTCCTTTTAAATGCTGATTTTTATTTATTTTTTATAATTATTTATTTTATACCTTTAAACCAGTGGTTTTGAACCAGGGGGCCTTAGTTTTAATATATTAAAATAATCTAATCGCATAATAAATCGTAGTTAATTAAAACTCCCCCCAAGAAGATACAAAACAAGCAGCTTTGTCATAATGATAGAAGACATACCAGAAATGGGGGGCCTTCCAATCAAAAAGCTTGAGAACCATTGCTTTAAACTGACCTAAAAAAAATCCCTAAGACATTTCAATGTGTAGGTTAATGTGAGAAGGTAACTGAGCTCCACTACCTCTACTCAATCAGCAGATGGCGCTGTGATCCACATTGTTCGGCAGCCAGTGGTTCTGGCTCTGTCACTCTCACCTTTTTCTGTTCCATGTTTGTCAATGACCTGTACATTGAGAGTCGTAATGTGTGTCTGTCACCGATGGTGCACCGTTCTGTGTTCAGGAAATGTAACACAGCCAGTCAAACTGCACAGGAACATGTAACACAGCCAATCAAATTGCATGGGTGAAACAATGACCGGGCCTTTTCTGCCAAAACTTGTCTCTTGTGTCCCACTGATCTTTGTGTCTCTTCGGCCCACATTACCATTGCCATTTCAGTATTCTTTACGAGGCAGAATCCTCTGTGGAATGACTCCGCATACACAGACACGCTGCCGATCGAGTCCAACTTTGCAGCATGTGCAAATTAGACGATGTATGTAGCATTTACTACCATATTTTCACGCACAGTCCCACTTGAGTGAGTCCTGTATGTAGCACTACTGATGAAATTGTGGCTCTCCTTTAAGACTCTATGTATAAGTGTGTCCACAACTGGTGAGTATTGTCTTTGAGGATGTAAACACAAGATACAGAATCCAAGTTTCATGTCTCCCCTTGCTAGTTGAGCATTACTAGATTCTGTGGTCATTGTTTCTTTGAGAACTGCATTCTTATTACTGAGATTCATCAGTGCCTTATTCAGCATTATTTAGACTGCACGTCTCTTTACACATTTATACAGCTGCAGTGTGTTGGTTTGCAGTGAAAAACAGTCTTTCTCTTGATTTATTTTATCCACAACAGGCATTTAGCTTTTGTGACTTGAGTTTTTTTTTTTTGAGATGGAGAGCATCTATATGCAATACAAACCCGTTTTGAGTTGCAACAAGCGTATAAGGAAATGACGTGTCTGTATGTTTGTGAGCAATGTGTGTTTGTATAGAGGGTGTGTTTGACAAAAATCAACACGTGAATGATTTTCGGTCATCCTAATTTGCATGCATGATGTTCTCTCAGCGTCTTGCTGTGTGTGTGTGGCTGTGAGGTAAAAGACAAGCGATTGTCTGGATAGGACATCGACATTTCTCATTGTCTGTCATAATTCATCGTTACTAACAACCTCATGTTTGGCAAAACAAGTGACACTTAAAAATACAATGCCGATGTGGGAGTCACACTGTAAAAAGAAGAAACTAAAAACGCAAGTTTTTGTCAGAAAAAAAAAATGTAGAAAAGCATTTACCTCGAGAACTGCATGTGCAATGTGCATGCCACAGCGTTTGATAAAAAGTCATCTGCAGGAATTAAAAAAATGAAATGTTTTGTAGAAAAAAAAACACACGAGTACAGATCAATCTTTTTTAAAGTAATATTATGCTCTATTTTTTAAAACAAACAAAAAAATTGCATATTCTGGGGAGGAAAATCACTTTGATGCAACTTCAAGTTGTTTATTTCTTTCTGTTTCTAGCTGTTTGTTTTTTTCCCCTGCCAACTAGAAGGAGAGACACTTCAACACTATGTTCAGGGCACGTCAATATGACTACTGTCACAAAAAAAAAAAGAACGAAATAAAAGAGTCAAGAAGAAAATCCTTGCTGTTGTGCGCAAAACTCTTTTTAGTTCTGAAGTCCCCCATGTTCATCTTCCTCTGCTTTCACTACTGTTTTGAGCTTCTGACACTTACACAATTCCAAAGGAATGTGCATTTGGGAAACCAGGTCATGATTGTGAGTACATGAGTGAGGTTACACAGAGCTGAAGGCATCCTCTTATTTATAGAATTTACAGTGGTATAGAAAATTCTTGTTCTCTGGTTTAGCCTTATCTGACACAGAGGGATCAGACCACAGGAGTAGTCATAAGACACCTCCAGGGCTTCAGGGGTTAAGTGCCTTGCTTAAATTGAGTATGGTCATGGAGAAAGTGCTCCGAGCAGGATTTAACACTTTCCATTCTTGGTGCTGCTATCAGTACCCCACTCACGCTGCTGACAAATGTTTAAAAAGTATCTAACACACTTTTTTCTTTCTTTTCTCATTTTTCTCTCCGTTTCCCAATTTGTATTACAAATGATGGTCTTTATTTTGTCCCACTTGTGCTTTAATGACAGCGCCGTTTGAGCTACAAGCATGATGTTCATGTTATCCAGCATGTTTTTAAAAGCATCTTGCGAGCTTCAGTGGTATGATGAAAATCAAATACAAAGAGTTAAAGGGAGGGGAGGGGAGGGGAGGAGGAAACTCACCCTCATGTCATTTCAAACCTGTATGACTTTCTTCTGTGGAATATAAAAGAAGATAATTTGAGAAATGTTTCAGTCAGGTTTTTTTTCACTATATGTCAATGGTAACCAAAACTGTTTGATTTCTAACAGTTTAAAAATATTTTTGATTGGAACGGCATGAGGGAGAACTATCCCTTTTAAATGGTCAATGTCACATGTTAAATAGCTGAGTTAAATATTTTTTTCTTCTAAATGTAGCTAAAAATACAATTTTAGGCCTGGTTTCACAGATAGAGTTTAGATTAACCCAGAGTAGCTTTTATGTGTGCCTTATAAAAAAAACAATGCAACTGATATATTTTAAGATATGTCAGTGCAAGTTGCTTTCCGTTAAAACAGCTCAAACATGCATTTTAATCTGTGAAACTGGGGGTTAGTGTATTTCCAAGGCTAAATAATAATTTTAGAATTCAGATTTTTAATGTGATCGGCGACTGTATATCCCACATATAAATTATGAGGCCGCACATAGACGGAGCATGTTGGCCACAGGTCATAAAATTAACTGGGGCTTTGGCCAAAAATACACCTGCACATTTAAACTAAATCTATAATAATAAAGTTAAAATGAAAATGTAATTAAAAGTGTCGTCATGTTGTTCTTTGTGCAAAGAAGCTAGCTAAAGTCAGCGAATAAGACACTGACACAATGATGAACAAGTGACAATAATATTCGCAACATATCGTTTTACTAAATTAGTAAACCTAATTTCTTAATTTATCTTTGTAAAGAATAAGAAACCTCATTGCTCTGCTGTCTCAGACGATGACATCTTTTCCTGTCGGCCACCGTAACTTCTGTTGGTTCCAATTCGCATGCTCACCACTAGATGGCGCTACAAATTACACAGTGCACCTTTGAATTTAGATCTGCTCATGTTGCATCATACTTTGTAGGCGTTTTACAGCGTTACGCACGATCAAAGCCCGTCTACGGAAAGCCTGGCCACTCCCTATTCGGTTGTTAAGTCTGACGTCACGCGTGACGTTTAGCCTCTTCCGGGCCCAAGCGCTCCGCTCGTCCACTCCAGATCCTAGACTAAATAAACCCTTTTCTTAAGGGCTTTTTTCGCTTCAGTGCCAGTGGGTGTTACTAGGGATTAAGGGATAGCACCCACTGGCGCCAAAGTTTCTTCATTCGTTTAAGATTTGTAACTTACCTTATCAACTGCAGCCATTTTCTCTTATCTT